TGTAGTTTGTAGCACTGGAAGGGACCCCAAGGGTCATCCAGTCCAACCCACTGCAGTGCAGGAGGTCAGATGACACCCATCGCTGAGAATTCATTCTGATTTGTGTCCAGGGAGGTTAAAGAAGTCGTGTCAAACTAAGGCTCATGCCATCCCTTTCCTAAGTTGTTTGCCATCAGTTCCCTTACCACAAAAGGTTTGATGGAGGGGGAAACAGAGGGCATCTGCTGTCCAAGAGCACCAGTGTCACTCCAGATGTGGACCCTGAATCTGCCAGTGTGTTACTTGCAATCCTTCCAATGTTCTCGCAACTGGATGGGCCTTTCTTGGGTGTGAGGCATCTCCTCCCCCAGGATGACATTGGCTGCTCTCCAGTCTTCAGATACGGAGGCTGATCCAAGGGACTAGTGACTTAGGTCTTTTTAGAAGGTCAGCAATTTCACATTTCACAGGAGTGGGATGCTCTGCCCAGGGAGCTCTCCTGGCCCTGTCATGGCACGCCTTTGCAGGCAGATGGAAACATTCCTCCATTATGGCTATATGTGGCCTATTAGAAATGGGGAGGGTGTTTTTAATGTACAGTGGTACCTTGGGTTAAGAACTTAATTCGTTCCGGAGGTCCGTTCTTAATCTGAAACTGTTCTTAACCTGAAGCACCACTTTAGCTAATGGGGCCTCCTGATGCCGCTGGAGCACAATTTCTGTTCTCATCCTGAAGCAAAGTTCTTAACCCGAGGTACTATTTCTGGGTTAGCGGAGTCTGTAACCTGAAGTGTATGTAACCTGAAGCATATGTAACCCGAGGTACCACTGTATTCCCCTTTGTTTTAATGTACCTATGCAGGGGTTGTCTCTTCTGTCTCCTTGATTTATTGATTGGCTGGTGTTAAGGTGCTTTGGGGTTGCCTTGGGCAAGATAAAGCAAGTAACACATTCATTGAATGGTTGTTGTTAATTTGCCAGTTTTTACTTTGTCATAAAAGGCCTAGAGCTTTGTGTTTTGTCACCACAATCTGCCTCAGTTTCCCAGGCCAGTTCCTCACTTCTGAGCTCCTGTATCTTTTAGCTGCTCTTATTTTTCTCTGTAAGCCGCCTTGAGTCCCTGTCAGGGGAAAAGGTGGGGCATGAATAAATGTATAAATAATAATAGCAGTTAACTGACCAGTTGGCCAAAGATTTCTCCCTGGAGGTTTTGCCCTGTGGAACGCCCTCCCATCAGATGTCAAAGAAATAAATAACTACCTGACTTTTAGAATACATCTGAAGGCAACTCTGTTTAGGGAAGTTTTTAATGTTTAATGGACTACTGTATTTTAATATTTTGTTGGAAGCCGCCCAAAGTGGCTGGGGAAGCCCAGCCAGATGGGCGGGGTATAAATAACATATTATTATTATTATTATTATTACATTCATACCTTGGGATAAATACGCTTCAGAAGTATTTTCAGGTTTCGCTCCGCAGTGACCCGGAAGTAACGGAGTGCGTTACTTCTGGGTTTCGCCGCTCGCGCATGCGCAGACGGTCAAAATGGCGTTCTGTTCAGGATGCGAACAGGGCTCCGGAACCGATCCCATTCACATCCCGAGGTGCCACTGTCTTATTAAAAGCAAACGGCTGCCATTTCAGGTGCCTGAAGATCTTTCACTCTACCTCTGTGGTGTTTCCTGCACTCAGAAGCCTCCCTGAATGCCGTGACGCTTACTCCCAGGAAGCCAGGAGGCAGATTCCAAGAACGTGGGCCTTATTCTTCTGCTCTGCACTGCAGCTCTTCCTCATCAAGCTCGCCTCTGGGCAGATGCCGTAACTTTTTGCTCTTCAGGGTCTTTAGATTTACAAAACCTTTGAAGGGTCTGTTGGAAAAGTCTCTTGGAAGAAAGAAGGACAAGCTGCGAGATGCAAGTTATCAGCAAGAAACAAAAAGCCCATCTGCCAGGTCTGTGATTCTGGTTCCTGCTGGGTCCGGTTGGTGAGGGTGCCCAGCGAGGGTCATGGGTGCTAATTCTGGAGCAGCGTCTCTAAGGACACAGTAGCCCTGCGATACTCCTCTTGGCTGAAAGGGGGAGCAGAGGAGCAGCCCTGGGGGCCAAATCCTGCCCTGAGAGGTCAATAGGTAAAAATTAGCAGGACGCTGGAATTTCCCACTTGCCTGATGCAATGCACACTCGGAAGTGGACTCATCCCTCTTGGAAAGAACTGAGGATGTTTGTAACTCTGCTGGCGCTGGAGGCCGACATGTCTGCATGGAGAAAAGGAGTGGGGAACCCCAGGCTTCCTAGACTGCCCTTCAACCTGCGCTGACTTTCCTTCAGGATAAGCCAGTAGTTCCCAAACTTCTTTTGGCCCCTGCCCCCTTGGCTCCTCCATAAACTCTTCCCTGGCACCCGCAGCCCTAACCTATAAAAAGCTTTATTCAGAACAGCACTTTGCATGACTCTAAGGTTAAAAACAGAAACAATTAAGTGCACATTTATTCAAAGAATCGCAGAAAGGGACCCAAGGGTCATCCAGTCCAACCCCCAGCAATGCAGGAATAAAACTATTTAATTGATTCAACAAAACTGTTAAGCTTGATTCAGTGATACCAGCTGTTCAAGGTCTGCTAGACACCTACACCTCCAGCGCCCCCGCCCCCCTGCCTTTAAGCCCCCATAGCCCTCAGGGGGTGCTACCACCCACTTGGGGAAGCACTGGGCTAATCTGATGCTCAGAAGGTTGCTGAGCACACTTCCTCCTTCCGGGTGATGCCAGGACCAAGTTATCCCAGCAGGGAAACATCCTCAGATTTTCAGCTCAGAGGGTTCAGGTTTCATTTAAGTGAACCTTCTTATAAATTGTTCTGGCTGAAGACCCAGCAATGAATACAAAGGAGGAATCGCATCATGGGGGAAGAATCAGCCGTGAACCACAGGGTCCCACATGGCCTCTCACGCTGGGCCAAAACCGGCCAGTTCCAGGCATGTTTTCCCTTTCCACGAAGGTTAGCTATGAAGCAGCTCTGGGAATAAACCCCGAAACAAAAGCCTGAAAGTCTCACCCGGTCAATGGGACCCCTCAGCCCAAGATGGGGCAGCAGCCACTCACTTTGTGGGGTTTAGAAGGGGTTGGATGAACCTAGACAAGTGAGAGGAAGAAAAGCAACCTGGTCATGGCTTCCAGCTCTCTGGGGTCACCCCCCTCTTGATGACCCTTTTGGTGCCTTCCAACCCTACAATTCTGACTCCAGAGGCTGGGGGGAAAGGCCCCCGTGGCTCACCTCCTGCTTGGGGGGCTTCCCAAGGACACCAGGTCGGCCATTGGTGGGAAAGCGCTTTCTCAGCAAGGCTCTTTCTGCATTTCCCCTTCAGCCCAAGCGTCGTCAAGAAGCTGGTCTTTGGCACAAGGTGGAAAGGAACCGACAAGTCATTAAACCCAAATTCTGCTGGGTGGGGCGAGGTAGAATATATTAAGCCAGCCCAAAGTCCACAAATCTCCCCCCCCCCCCCCGGTCAGCAACCCGCCAGGCCAAATCTGAAGCTGGCTCCACTCAGCCACAAAGGTCTTCTGAAAACTGCAGCAGCATCGGCCAAGCCTCCAGAAAACTGCCCGACTCTCGTGCCAAAGGCTCAGCCCTCCAGAATGGGAGGGGTGCACACATACCGTATTTTTCGCTCCATAGGACGCACCGGACCATAGGAGGGGGAGAACAGGGGGAAAAAATTTTCTTGTTCTCCCCCTCTAAAGCAAGGTGCGTTCAAGGTATATTCACCAGAGCTTGTGGGGCTGGCGGTGGGGGGAAGCGCTACTTTCCCCCACCGCCGGCCTCAAAGATCCCTGAAGCCTTTGGAGCGCAGCGCCCCGCTGCCCTGCAGAGGTTTGCGCGCAGCCGTCCCCAAGCTAGAACAGCGAGACGGAGCGCTCCGTCTCGCTGTTCTGGCTTGGGAACAGCCTTGCTAGCTTCTGCAGGTCACCCCGCTGCCCTGGAGAGGCTGTGCACACAGCCGTCCCCAAGCTAGAACAAAGAGATGGAGCGCTCCGCAGTGCTCCGTCTTCCTGTTCTGGCTTTGGGCTTAGCGGCGCAGCCTTCATTCGCTCTATAGGACGTGCACACATTTCCCCTTAATTTTTGGAGGGGAAAATGTGCGTCCTATAGAACGACAAATACGGTACATTACAGCCTTCGTGATCCAGGGATGAGTGTAAGAGCCGGCTGGATCAGGCCCAGGGCAACATCCTCTTCTCACAGCGGCCTGTGGGAAACCAGCAAGTCGGATCTGAGTGCGAGAGCCTCTTGTCTCCCGCAGCTTCCAGCAACTGGGATCCAGAAGCCTTGCCGCCTCCAGCCCATCTAGTTGTGGAGCAGTAGAAGTGCTAGCACATTTGCAGAGCAGCGTCTGGTAGGAGATCCTGCCTTGTAGGGGGTTGGACTAGATGACCCTGGGTGCCCCTTCCAACCCTGCTCATCTATGATGGCACAGCAGGGCCACTGTGGCCAGCAGCCACCAATAGCCCTCCCCCTCCATGAGCTTGTGGGTGCCCACCACTCTCTCCTGCACAAGCCCCCAAAACGGCTCGCTGAGGCTTTTTAGCAAACCTCAAACTTTGTGTTCTTTGGGTGTAATTTTCACAAGCACAAGATTCCTTCCCAGGTTGAGCAACAGCCAAACCAGTCTCCCCCACCCCCGCCACCACCACCCAGCTCAAGGCAGGCAAAGTTGGGTTTTTTATTTGTCCGCAATCACATCACTTGGCCCTTTTTGCAGTGACTTCATCGGCCGCGCTCATTGCGCCTTCGCCCCCCTCCTCTGCAAGATCTCTGCAAGCTCCGTGTTGACCACTTCACATGACTTCATCTCTTTTCCCCGGAATGGAGCCATGCGACACCGTGGTCTTCAGCTTGCCGGAAAGGCCAGCCAGCAGGTTTCCTCTCGAGGAGAACGGCTTGAGAGAGTCCCGGGTTACGGGAGGACCTGAGAGTGGAGCAAACTCCTTTTCCGTGGTGGGCAGGAAATGAAGGGGCAGGGGATGGAAAGGGCAAGCGAATCACAACTTTATTTCAAATAGCTTAAATCACACGCACACAAAAGATTTTACAGGGCTATGACTATGTACAATGACACAAAATGCCTTTATTACAATCGGTACCATTATAAAAGCAGCACAAACAGACATTTCCTGGAGGAAGATGGCCGGCGCCCCTGGAACGAAGGGACCGGTTTCTGGAACCTTCTGAGACCGCCGGGTCTCGTCCATCAACTGAACCTGAGGAGCTGGCGGTGGGGCTGCGTCATCGACCCCAGAGTTTAGAAGTTCATTGGAAATGGGGTTTTTAAAAGCCTGACATTATGTGGCATAAAGCTAGCATGTCAGACGGAACCATTAAATAAAACCTGTATTCTAATATACAAACGTTTCATTTTGGAACGGGGATTTTTGAGGGATAAAGTCATGGAGCTCTTCTCAAGTCTCGAGGCCTGAGACAACGGAGGAAATCGTTTCAGAAGGAACTTGCAGCATTTAAGAAAAAGGATTCTTCATCTCTTTCACTCGGACCCTGTGCAGACACAGTCCTGATAACTACAGTAGATTAACTCATCCAGTTAGGAGGGCAATCCTCATAAATGCTCTCTACTAAAAATAAATAAATTTTAAAATGAGTGCAATTTTGTTCAAAAGTATCCAATGTGAAGATTGCAATAAGAAATTGATTCTCCACTTTCAAATCAAGTGGCTTTTTTTGCATTGTATTCTACAGTAGAATTTTAGCACTAATAACCGGAAGGGCACACGCACAAATAGACATAGACACACACACACACACACACACACACACACACACACACACACACAGAGTTTTCAGGCTCCACCGTGAATGCTGGAGCCCCAGGGAGCCGTCCCCAGTCGCATGTGCAAGCCTGGACTGGGGAGAGATGTGCCCCATCACTACCCCCAAAGACATACAGACACATGGAAGGGGGCACCCAGAGATCCTATGACCGTATCATTAGCTACCTGGTAAGGGAAGAAGATAAAAGCTTTAAAAATAACCCTGAGGGATACCGATATATATCTATATATATCATTTTAAAATCTGGTTATTCTTCTCTTGAGCTAGTCCTTTAGATATGTGCATAAATAATAATAATTAAAATTAAATTAAAAATATTTAATTGGCCATATTTACAATCCTGACACAAAGAAGGACAAATTTAGACTTTAGGTCCACAAAACGCAAATAATTTAATAAGGAACTCAGATTCCAAGTTCTCGACGTGACCCTGGATTTTACTGCAGAAAGGCAAAACAACTTTCCGGAGTGTTGGAGGGCCCCCCATTAAACCATCTTGTTCACCTGAATTCACAAACTTTTGAGGAAGATTCAGCAAGAAAAGGAGTCCTCAATTTATTAATTTTTTTAAAAAATACCAACTCAGAATTTTGGCGTGCAAGCTAGATTCCAGAGGCCAGAAGACGAACCTCTTTTTCAAGCTCGCCCCAAGAGGAACAGCGGCTAAACCCCAGCCCAGATTTCAGGGAGGCCAAAAGCAAATGCGCCCCAAACTCCAGGCCAGATCACTTCTCGCCACCACATTGACAAATGGCTTCCCCCAGCCCCAAAGATCCTTAGTGAGACCTGGCTGCCCAGGACAGTCCCCGATTTTTGCTTCCCAGCGGTTTTCCACTGGGAAGCACGGGGGCAGCAAGCGAGGCGCCTTGAAACAGGCACACATTCCCTTCCCCTGGCCAGGACCTCTCCTGCATTGCTCCTGAAACGCAACACGCTCTCTCTGCCTCTCTCTCACACACAAACGGAGCTACTGTACAGTCAGATGAAGTGCGGCAAGTCACAGTCCCAAGGTCAAAAGATGCATAGCTTCATGGATCTCTTCCTTCTTTTTAAGCAAAATAACCGTGCATTTTGAACAGGGGAGAGAGAGAAAGTCGCTATTGCTGCTGCTGGCTCCATCAGCCTGCTCCAGGGAGAGGAGGCGGCTCGCACTTGCACCCCGAGGTGTCAGAGTGCCGGATCCCAACCACCCTCCACGACGCAGCACCGTGGTGGGAAGGACGCCCGCAGCCGGGGAGGGAAGCAGGCGGCAGAGGCCAAAGGCCAGGCCCCTGCAAGACATGGCAGCAGCAGGAGGACAACTCTGGGGCCAGGAGCCTCCCAGACTCTGCTTCCAACAACACCTTTTTGTTGAGGTATAAAACGGCAGGAAATGGACCCGGCTGTTTTGCTGCCGCTCAAGAGACGCTGTCCACAGAGGGTCATTTCCTCCTTGAAGGCTTTGCAGGTGCCCCTCCCAGTGCACGGGCTGCCTCCTCTGCAAGGCTCCTCTCTGCCATGGGCATCAGACGCCCCAGGGCATATCAGGACCCCTGGGCTTGAACTTCAAAAGCAAAGACCTCCCCCCCACACGCACACAGATGGGGTGGGTGCCCCACGGCCGGAGGGAGGCCCAGCCAGAGAAGCCAAGGGGCCTCCGAGGACGGAGGCAGAGCCTGGGGAAGGGAGGGGCGGTCAGCCCTTGGCAGCCAGGAGTAGCCGGATGATCCTTGGCCCCTGGAGCAACTCGGTGTGCGCGCACAGGCGTGTGTAAACAGGCCAGAGACCTAGCGTGGCCTCAGCAGATTTAAAGCACTTGGTGCTGGTGGTGGAGGCCAGGAGCAATTCTTTTCCCTATTTCTCAGTAAAGAATATGGCTGAGCCAGCGTGGCTGATTCTTTGCCTGCTTCCTGCACGGAGCCTGTAGCGAAGCCGAGTCGGGCGCAGGGACTGCCAGCCTTGGCACAGAGCGGGGGGTGCCAGGAGGGAACTCGGAAACTAACCGTGACGTCCGGCACCCTCTGCTCCGCGCAAGGTGGCCGGGGTCAGGCTCTGCAGCGCACTGCAGACCAGTGGCCTCCAGCACCGAGTTTGGCAAACACACACAACACCCACACTTTCTGGTAAGGGCAACTCACCCCCTCCTTGCTGGGCTCCCAAAGCCCCCCAGGCCAGCCTCCGAGGTGGAAGGAACCAGCGCTATGCCAGGGCTGCCCTGAGCCCAGATCTCCCCCCAGGGGCGAGAGGAGCAGAGCCGGAGCCCAGAACTGGCCAGCGGAATGAGGCTCGGAGAAGCCGGCTGGAAAAACACCCAACGTTTTGCATTGCTTGTGAAAAGTTCTCTCTCGACGGGACGCTGAACTCCAGGGATGGAGGGGGGCGAGGGGGGCGGCCTGAGGGCCCCGAACACGTGCTCCGCAGGCAGAAGTGTCTCCAGAGAGGGCAAGAGGACGCGCCCGGCCAGGCCGCTGCTACGTGACGGTGATGACCTGGCAGGCGCCATTCTGGTGGGCCGGGGGGGCCTTGGCCTCCGTCGTGGTGCAGGGCCTCGGCGGCCACTCGGGGTCCACTAGCAGCTCCTGGGCCAAGTGAACGTATTTGGCTTTCGGGGGCTTCTTCCTCTTCCGGAAGCCCAGCACCGAGGGGAGGGCGCAGCCGCGGCAGCACCCCAAGGCCTCCTGGAGGGAGAGAGAGAGGGTGAGACCCCACAGCCAAGGGCAGAGGCCAGGTGCACCCCCACCTGCCCAGGGCAGGCAGGGCCCCATGGCAGCAGTGCAGTGCCAGATGCCCCAGAAACATGCGCCTGAGGGAGCCACACGACAGGGCTGGAGGTGGCAGGCCATGGCATCAAGCATCACTCTCTGTGCCCGCCTGGTGCCACCAAACACACTTTGCCCAGCCGCCATGTCCTCTCCCTGTCTCTACAGATCTATAGCTCCCAGGCTGCTGAATTTCAGCAGTTGGGAGCAGGCCTGTGGCTGACATGGAGGGCGGGGGTCACATAACCTGCGCTGCGGCCCAGTCAGAATCTAGAACAGCAGCAGCTGTGGTCTAGCCTGACCCGGGCGGAGCTTCTCCTGAGCCCAGGAGATCTTCCCCTTCAGGGATCTCCTTGGGGACCATCCCACCCCTCCTTCTTCTCCTTGGGGCGGGAGATGGGCAGCCCCTGCCCTGAACTTCCCCACTTCATCATTAAAACCTGGGTTCGAAACGTTCCCTCCGTCAGGGTCTGCTCTCCTCAGCCTAACCTACCTCACAGGGTTGTTGTGAAGAACACATATGCCATCCTGACCTTTTTGGGGAAGGGGCAGGCAGCGGCAGAGACCCTGAGGAGAACCCCAACCCCCAAAACTTGACCCTGATGCAAATTAACAGCCCCCCTTCCCCTGCACTCCCTGGCCTTCAGTGAGCCTCACAAGGAGGCTGTTTAAAGCCCGCCCCCCTTTAAGGACACTGGCAAGACATTGACGGGCTTAGGGAAAGGGAGACCCCCAGACCTGCCCAACCTGATACCCTCTGAAGAGGAAGTGGATGGACACAGAGTCAGACCCTGGGCTCCGCCTTCCCTATGCCAGCCTTTCTGGGCCTTGGATCCCCAGGTGTTTCCGAATTACAGCCCCCGTTCTCCCTGACCACGCTGGCCAGGAATGATGGGAGTTGTAGTCCGACCACCTCTGGGGTCCGGAGGGCGAGGAAGGCTGGTCTCCCGACTGGCAGTCCTGGCTCCGCAGGGCTCCAGAGAGGGGTTGGAGCAGGCACTGGGCTACAACCCCCCCCAGCCAGCGCAGCGTGTCTGGGACTGGTGGGAGCTGTGGGCCAAGGGCTGGCAAACTCCGTGGGCCCTCCCGCCCCCCAGCATACAAACCCACCCCGTCCCCAGCCGTGAGGGTGTCATGCGTGGACAAGGGAGAGTAAAGCACAGTGTTCCAACCTGTGATGGGTGGGAGGAAGAGGAGAAGGAAGAAGAGGAGGAGGAGGAGGAGCCTAGGCGGTTCTCCCCTTGCTTGTCTCGGTGGAAGACAACTTTCCAAAGGATGGTGTCAAGGAGGAAATTCTGTGGTGTGTTCCGGGGAAGGGGAAGAATCAAGAAGAGCAGCCATCATTGCAGGTTAGCGAGAAGAAGGTCACAACAACAGCACAGTCGGGGCAGAAGAAGGCAGCACGAAGGCCTCTCTCTCTCTCTCTCTCTCTCTCTCTCTCGGCAGGACTAGCAAACGCTCGGCTCTTGGGAAAGAGTGCCTGGGTGGGGTCTCTGGTCCAGGCCTCGTGGACACCAGAAGGGCCTGCTGGATCGGGCCCACGGCCCACCTGCCCCAGTATCCTCTTCTCACAGTGGCCAACTAAATGGGAAACCTGCAAGTGGGATTTGAGCCCCAGAGCTACACTCTCCCCCTCGCTATGGGGCAAACCCCAAACTATCCTTTCAGTTCTGTTGGTCAGATCTGGACTGAGAACCGTGTCCTTGTTTGCACTTCTCCTGACTGATTGGCCTGATGTTTTCCGACAACTGTGCTGACAGAGATCAGGCAGAGATCCGTTCAACGCTTCCACCTGCCAGGGGCTTTCAACTCATGGGGAGGGGCTGGCTGGCTGTTCCCAATCCCAGAGCGTGGGCAGAACTGGGGCTCTGGCGAAGCCGGGGGTGGGCACAGGGAAGAGCAGCATGTTCTGGGAGGGCAGAAGAAATGTGGCGTGTGGGGCAGGGCCCTGGGGCAATTTCCTGTCACGGTGGCTGCACAGATACGCTAGATGTTTTGGGATCCGGAAGCCAGAGAGAGGTGGTGGCTGAAGGATTTCAAGTGCCCTGCTCCCCCCCGCCCCAGCACCCTTCTTGAGCAAATAGTGGAGGGCAGAATAATGGAGCAAACACGCATACGTTACATACTTAAGACACCTCACAGGGTCCACCTCCAACATCCACCATCCCAGAACACTGGCACTGACAAAGGAGGGTCTGAAAGAAACGCCCCCCCCCCTTTGTGGGGCTTTGTGCAAATCAGAACCCTGCCTGCTGGACTGAGATTTTAAGAAGAAAACACGCAGCCACTGCCTCCAGCCTGGCCAGAGAAAGCGCTCCAAACGCTGCCAGGACTCACCTCCACCAGAAGGGAGACAAAGGCGTTGACGACAACGATGAGGAGAATCCGGACTCGCCACGGATACGGCACGCAGACCAGCTGCAAAGCAGAAGAGACATGCGTGTGCAAGCGTGAAAAGGGCGAGCAGAGACGATGCACACAATGGAAGGCCCAAGAATCCAGCTTCTGCGCTTCCCTAGGTCCCTAACTTGGGCCTGGCCAAATTTTTACCATCTACTCTTAAAAAATTGTATGACTTCATGGAAAGGCTCCTGGTAGGATCCTGAGCGTGTTCTGAATGTGCAAATGGAGAGAATTGGGGATGATTCTGAGGCCACATGACGACAGCAGGATCCCTCAGGTATTATTTCAAACTAGGACTTAAGTCTTAATAGATGTTTGGCAGGAGAAAACATCCCCAAGAGTAAGATTACACCGTTTTCTCGCATCAGCTTAGAAAGCACTCCCAGGCGGATGATTTTCTAAATTTCTAATGATGTGTAGACTCAAGTGGGAGAGACTAATATACATTCAAACGCTGCCTCAGACCACCCCATAATTGCTTCGGATCTTTATAAAGATCTCTCACAGAAGTGAGCCTTTACATGGCAGTTTGTGACACAGTCACTGGCGCATGGAGGAACTGGAAAGCCAGCAGGGACAGGTGTCTTGGGGGGGGGGTTCTGTAAGGCCTCTAAGGAGCAGCTGGTCCCTTACTCACACAAAGGGGTTGATCTGATTTTGCAGGGAGAAGATATTCCTGATGCATGCAAAGTCTCAGATGGTGTTACTGTAAAAACCGCCAAAGATCCAATAGCAATGGGGTTTCACTGCCTCACCCTGGGGAGCGACTGGGAGCTCTTTGCGCTGCCCTGGGGGGGGGGGAGGCCCTGGAGCTGGCACCGGGGAATGGAAGGGCGGCCTCTTCTGGGCTTACCTCAAGGAACCAGTCGATGGGCTGCAGGGGATGCAGCAGGACAAAAAGGACGAAGGCATACAGAACGATCACAGAGATAACGAAGAGATCTGCAGGGGAGGGAGAAGGGGGAGAAGGGAGACACCTCTGAGCAGGCAAAGCCCTGCAGTCTCGCTTGGCAAAACTATCTCCTTGTGCCGTAATTTGGAGGCTGTGAGGCTGCATCTCCCAGAGCCCATTCCCAATCCTGACCCCCTCCGAGCCAAGGAGCCCCCCCCGCCACTGCCAGCCCTGGAGCCCCCCTCTCCCTCGCTGCCCAACCAGAATCTTCCCAGAACACCCACCACTGTGTAGAAGAGGCCCCCCATGAGAGGTCTGGAGGGTGGCAACACGAGAACGGGCCTTTTCTGGCTCCCCACTTGTGGGCTGCTCCTCCCTATTTCTCTTTAGACGCCAGGAGAAAAAAATACTCTATAACCAGGCCTTTAGTCTGTATCTGTGGCCTCTTAGATGTGGGTGGGGTGTTCTTAATGTATTAGATTTCCTGCCCCCCTTGCTTCTAATGTATCTATGTGGAGTCTTGGCTGGCTGGAGGTTGCTGTTTTTTGCCTTTGACAAGATAAAGCGGCTATCCATTTTAATATACACAATATATAAGAGAGAAGGGTCTTTTGACAGGCCCTTTAATAGCTCCTTTCTGCCCCTCTAATCCCAGGCATTTTCTGCCCTTCTCCTACAGCAATTCCGCCAGCAGAGAGGCAAGAGCCCAACTGCTTCTCTCTCTCCAGGGCAGGGGGCATCAAAGAATGGCAGCACCTCCTCTGCAAGGAAGCTGAACCCCACGGAGGGCGAGGGCGCCTGCGGGAAATGCCCCCCTACAGAGCCCCCCTCCCATCCTGCTTGCCCATCAGTGCTGCTCTGGCTCGGGGCCCCTTCTCCGCCCCAGGCCAAACTCTGGCACACGTACAGTTTTTGTAGCAAGGCTGCCTGAAGGGCCTCCCTTTGGAAAAGGCCACAGCGACAATGAGGTACTGGAAGCTGGAGATGAAGAAGACCGTCGTGTTCTCGTAGTTCCTGATGTTGTGCTCGTCGTGGAGGGTCTTGTTCTTGGGCTGAGAGGCGTTGGCAAAGGGACCCCTAGAAACATTGCAGGCGCTGCAAAACCCAAGTGGGGGGGGGAGGAATTAGTTTTATATATATATATATAATTTTATAATAACAAAAAACCAAAAAAAACAACCATCACAATCAAAAATTTAAATCATACATCTTAATTGACTTCCCTCCACTCCCCCTCCTGGTTCCATTATTTTATGCTTATTCATGCACATCCATAAAATCTTACATTCTTAACAGTCCAATTTTAAAACCTTATTCATCTTGTTACAAGTGACTTTTAAAAGTTCAACCAGTGTAAAAGCCTATACACCAAGCCTGCAAGGTATGCATTAAGAATTTCCTCTTTTAAAAATCAATGTCCTTTTTCTTTCTTGGGTTTCAAATTATCTAGTATGTCCTGCATAGTTCACTAACCAATCTTCTTTATCTTCTTTGGCAGTGGCTTCTTCCTTCTATAGGGATGGGCTGGTCTGGGGGGGGGGGGGCTGGAATTAGAGCATCTCTAACACGCTCTGTCTGTCTGTCTATCTCTCGGTGCTTCTCCAGCAAGAGGAGACAAGGCCAGCAGGGCCCAGAGAGCTGCCAGCTCAAACTCACTCCTAAATGTCCTTAAAGAAAGGAAGTCTATCGTTTCAAGGGCTGCAATTAGCTATATTAGATCAATCAATTAAAAAAAAACACAACTTTGAGCAAGTAAAAAGATGCCCCCACTAGTTAAGACAAAATAAAATAAAGTATTATTATTACTATGATTGCTACTTTTACTGTTTCCTGGACCCAGTGTGTTGCTATTAGTACATAAGCCCTTAACAACTTGGGACCAGTCTACCTGCGAGATCGCCTGACCCCACCTGCACCCCCTCCATCGCTTCGCTCGGTGGAAGGTGTCCCCACTCTTCATCTGTAAGAACTCAGGTCATTTAGTGTGGCAGCAGCTGCCCTCTGGAACTCCCTGCCTATGGAGATCAGACAGGCGCCTCTGTTGGACTCTGAACCATCTTGTTTAGACAAGCCTGTCCAGATGCCTGGAAAGTTGTGGTCATTTTAATCTGTTTGAGTATTTTAATCAGAGGCCCACTCCTCCGTTATCTTCTGAGACAGACTACCATGGAGTCGGAATGAATGAATGAATGAATGAATAAATAAATAAATGTTTTCTCTTTCTGTAAACCACCTTGAGGCTTTTTCTTATATATACAATCAAGTGGTACATAAATTTTATGAAATAAGAAATAAACAAAATTAAGAGGCAGACGCTTTTGAGATGGTTCCTCCTGGAGCACCACCCCCCACATCCTCCATCACCAAAAGGGATGTGGTCCGCAAAGGGCAGGTGGGGTCCCACAGATTCCAAAGTGAAACTCTCCTGCCCCTGCTGTGGACCCAGACGCGGCCCCCTGGGGCAACTTACTCTGAGTGAGGGGTCCAGGTCTCATACCAGGGCTGCTGCCTGGCCCACAGGAAGCCCAGGGTCTGGAAGCCAAGGCAGATGAGGATCTGGGAGAGGACGGAGCAGAGGAGGGGAGCCGAGATGAGGCCGGAGGGCGGCCTCTGCGCCACAAGCTCCTTCCAGGCAGGGTTCAGGCTCACTGCGGAGAGAGAAGGAGGTGAGACCCAAAGGGAGAACCAGCACACAGCCACCAAGCAAAGCACTGCACCAAGTAAACCAGGCAAACTCAGCAGAGAGCTGCTCGTTCTCCACAAGGCTACCTGCAAGGGGGGGGGGGGCTGGAAAGAGCTATGGTGATGCGTAGAAACTTGAATTTTGAAGCCCCCTTTTCCCCCTGAAACTACACACCAGAATTGGGCAAGGAGTCGGGATTCTGGGTTTGGGATCTACAGCTGCAAAATCGCTTGTTGCCTCCCCCTTTCTAAGGGTATCACTTGTTTCCTGTGCATCAGCTTCACAATGAATTCTGCAGGACTCCCAACTCTGCAAGCTGCTCGGGCTGGTGAAGGAGAAAGGCCTGCCGGCCAAAGCTGCCCCAGAGAGGGAGGGCGGCCTTGGAGGAGGCGGGGAGAAGGATACTCACTGGTGAAGACCACCACCAGAATTATTGCGAGATCAATGAAGAGGAACTGGAAATCTCCCAGGTTGCTCTGGATCTGCAAAGGAACCGCAAGGGGGATTTCAGAGGGGATGGAAGTAGGTTTCTTTTATGCCCTGAAGGCCAGCTAAAGAGCTTCTCGGAAGCTCGGGGGCTCACGTCCCACCTCCCCTAGGAACCTGCTCAGAGGCCTTCTGCAAGGTGATTTCCCCCCCACCCATTTCACCACCTGCCATGAAGCATTTCTGGTTGAAACAGAAATGAGAGAGAAGCAAAGAATGCCACAGACTTTGCACAAGGGATGAGCCATTGCGGGGGAAAGATGGCCATGAAACTCTCCCTCCTGTTCCTCACCTGTTCAGGGCCTATCAGGTGAGAGTGGAAGAGGGAAGGAGGTGGGATCTCGTGCCTCGGAGCCAATCAGAGGGAGAGCTTCACAGACACATGTTGCGAAGCCCCACATGGGAGGATGGAGGGGGGGGACTCAAATACTCACAGAATACAGCAGGGTGACACTGACGTACTGGATAATACTGTACAAAGCCATGAATTTGAACACACAGAAGGAGGTTATTAAAGCAGCCCGGCCTTCCCTGTGAAGACAAAGAAATGCACATGACGAAATCCAGGCGAGTCAAGAACTGCATACCTGAGGCCAGGTAAGAGCTTAGGAAGAACTTCCTGGTGGGCAGGGGAATGGACTCCCTGGAAAGGCGGGACTCTCCTTCGCTGGAGGTTTCTAAAGAGAAGCTGGATAGCCACCTGCCAAGGATCCTGCAGCCGCACTGATATTCTTCTTAAAGATGCCCAGAACTGGACACAGGACCCCCAGTGAGGCTTGACCACCCGTGGATATTCTGTGCTGGGCTTCGGTTGCTGCTGCCGCCCTTCACCCTGACCTGGCATCCTTCCCCAAAGGGAAAGGACTTCCTCCACCAGGCCCTCCTCTTGGCTGGCACCCCCACCTCTCAGGGAGGGGGGCAGCTGTGCCCAGGTGGGACCTGAAAGACCCTCCAAGCGGCCCTTACCTGATCAGGCTTGGCACGCAGGAGATGCTGGGTGTCCGGGAGGTGAAGGGAGACGCCACAGAGGCCTCCAGCTCCGAAAGGGAAATGCCACCGTGCGCCCTCTTCAGTGCCTGCCCAGTCGCAAATGGAGCAGAAAGGAAAGGGTTAATTCTTTCGGTGTGGCGAATGAGCCGCGGATGAGAATCGCGCGGAAACGGAAGAGGCTACTCACCCCGCAGTCGTTTGCCCCGTCGCCACACATGCCCACGTAGTAACTGCAAGAGCAGAGAGAGGGAGAGCATGAGAAGGCAAGAGGAATCGGCTGCACCAGCCCAAGGCAGCCCACCGTCCTCACAAGGGCCTCAATGGGAAACCCGCATGCTGGAGCCCAGAACAAGAGCAACTCTCCCCTCGCTGGCTTCCTGGCTAGGGGCCACTGGTAGCCCTCTCCATGAATCTGCCTCATCCTCCGGTGGGAGGGAGTTCCATAGTTTCACCATGCGTTGTGTGAAGAAGCAAGGGAGAGCCAGGACCCCACAGCATTTTGGCCCAAAGTCAAGCCCCCCGCGAGCCCGCTTCTGTTGCCTGGCGTCTGTGCATCTGGGCTGAGGACCAGGGCCAGGGCCTGGGAATCCTGAGCTGCAGCAAAGATGGTTCCAGTGCATTACTCTCAGCGGGAAGAAATCACCACTGTTGGCTGTGATGAAGAAGCAGGGCTGCCTGGCATCATTGGGTGAGGGGCAGCCAGGCAGCCAGAGATGGTCAGGAGGAAGAGCGCTGGTGCCCCCTGGAGCGAGAGAGAGAGGCCTCCACGCTGGCAGTCCTGCTCCAGGCTCCCACAAAGCCAGGCAAGGGGGCACGGCTGCTTGGCAAAGCCACTGCCAGAGCAACAAGCCTTCTCTGCAACACAGGCCGGGACGCAAGGCCCCCAGACCCCCTCTTCACAGCAAGGAGCCGTTACAGTATTGGCGGGGGCCAAAAATTGTAACATTATGCATGGCATTGAGAAAGTGGATAGAGACGAGTTTTCTCCTTCTGTCCAATGAAGCCGAATGCCGGAGGATTCAGAACGCGGCACAGACTTAAACCACGGAACTCACTTTGATGGCGTCTGGAAGCATCTGGGTGGCCACTGAGAGAAGAGGACGCTGGACTGGCTGGGCCACCAGCCTCATCCAAGATGCCCTCACTACGCTCTCAAGGAGCTGAGCTGAATGTGGCTTCTGAGATCAGTTCCACAGCAAGTTCCAGTTCACAAAAATGTCATCTTACACTTTGGGTAATGACTCATTCAGTAAGAAACTGAAACTTGGAAGCGTTTTCCCCAAGAGGGCTGGGCTGCTGTGCCCATCAGAGGGCGCCAGAGAGCTCTGCGTGGCATCAAGCACCACGTGCTGGTGGTGGGCAAGATGTTCTGCCTGACCCTTCTGACTCGAGAAAGACTCCACGGCCCTCTTCTTCGCCTTGCGCCTGTCCAGGGGAGAGCAGTTCCAGCTTGGCTCCCCGTGCTTGTCTCCGCCCGCCCCCCAGAGACAGGACCCAACAACTTAGGGGGCAGGCACTGTGGGGAAGGGCAGGGGCAGATTCTTAAAAAGTGGCCCTTTAGTGCCAAGAGGACTGGCCAACCGGCCCCCAAGCAGGCCGAAGCTGGATCCCCGACTGGGAAGAGGTCAGGGGTGTGGCCTGGGCTGACCTCTGGAGACTGGCTCCTGGCTCCCTGGCCCAGAGGGCAGGGGCAACACCCCTAACTCAGTGCGTGGTTTCTCCTTGAAGGGCAACCCTCACCTTTAAACCAGAGAACTGGGGCTACAGCGTTTTATGAAGCTTTGGGGCTGCCTGAAGAGTCGGGTCAAAGCAGCAGCAAGAGCAGCAGCAGCAGCAGCAGCAGCATCAAAATTAGAGGGATACTTACTCTACGTTTTGCAAAGCCTCCACCAGCTGGGTTTTCTGGTCCGGTGCCATGCGGGCAAACACTGTGCCATGCAACACAAGCTGAAAAACAGGGGGGGGGGCTCTCAGCAACGTAATTAAAACGGGGGGGGGGGGCAGAGATCAAGCATTTTGACGGCAGGGACGCATTTCACACTCTGGGAAACTCCTGCAATGCTTCACGAAATACAGGGCACAGCCCTGGTGCCTGAAAGGAGATCGCTGGGGAAAGTACAGAGAAGGAGAACCAAAACCATCCCAGGGAGGAAAGACTAAGGCATTTTCGTTTAGGGAAAGAGTGTCTCTGTGGGGTGTAGAGGCTGGAGGGTCAGGCTAGGACCTGGGAGACCAGGGTTCAAATCCCCCCTCGGCCATGGAGCTCCCTGGGCCACCTTGGGGACCAGCCACTGCCTCTCAACCTAGCCCACCTCACAGGGTTGTTGTATTAATTTTTGTTTGGGGGGAGGAAGAACATGTGCCATATAAATAATAAAATAATGATTACTATTTCTGAAGGCAGTCCTGTATAGGGAAGTTTTTAATGTCTGATGTTTTACAGTGTTACAGTGTAAAACTGTACAGTGGGTTACAGTGGGGATCCATTCCGGAGGCTGCAACCCGAAAACGATGCAACCCGAAGTGCCACATCTGCGCATGTGCGTGGTGCGATTTAGTGCTTCTGCGCATGCACGAACAGCGCGAACCCAGAAGTAACCTGTTCCGGTACTTCCGGGTTTCTGCTGGTCGCAAGCCAAGGGTGACGTAAGCTGGAGGCAACGTTACCCGAGGCTCCACTGTACTGCGTTTTTAATATTTTGTTGGGAGCCTCCCAGAGTGGGCAGCACATAAATAGTAAAATTATTATTATTATTTCTTTCATTTCTACCCCACCCATTTCCCAAGGAGCTCAAGGTGGATGATGATGATGATGATGATGATGATGATGATGATTTCCTCCTTGGGGGAAAAGGTGGGACAGAAATAAATGAATGAATGAGAAACTCTGGGCTGGCCAATGCAATGGGGGGGCAGGAGACTCAGGAGGGAGAAGAGGAATTTCCTACATGCAAAAGGCACCATGGACTTGCGGGTGTTGCTGCCACAGGCCAGCTGGCGGCTTAGTTGCGTGGCTTTTTAAAGAGTGAGACAAACTGGGGGTGGGAGGTGGCTATCAGTGGCTACTGGTCAACACGGCTATTCAGTGGCAAGCCACACAGGAGGCCTGGCAAGTGTGTTGTCGTGATGCAACCACTTTGCCTGGAAGCTTCCTGAAGGTTTCTAGAAAAGGGGGTGCATGGTGGAGACATGGGAACTTCAATTTTTTATGCAGCAGGGTTAGCTTATTCTTAGCAGCTCCCAAACTTAAACTTTGCCTTTTAGTTAGGAAACATGAACTTGGTTAGCATTCAGCTCTGGTTACACAGCCAAGACGGCTGTCAGAGCAATACTGAGCTCCATGCGACGCTGCAATGGGCAGAAACAGCAGCACAGAGCTCTCAAAAGCTCCTGCTCATCCTGGGAGGAAACATAATATTAAATGTTCTTCTGCAAAAGTCATCATCTCATCTCTTTTTTTCTATTTGAGACATCAAAAAAGTGGGGGGAGCAGGGGAAATGCCCCCTCTGTGCACCGTGACAGAGTGAAATAGGAAGTTAGAAGAGACGTTTCATGATTCCCCTCCCGCTCATCTCCCGGCGATGGGAGTTTTGCCCCCCACTCTGGCCACCCCGAGAGCTGCTCCGGATACAGACCTTTGGGACGAGGTCCTGGAAATGATCCTGGATGACAGCAAAGGACTTCCCGTTCATCGCAAAGTGGTACTTGGTCACGTGGGCGTCCTCGAGTCTCTCGGGGGGCAATTTGACGGGGATATCCTGCGACAAAACAGCAAGGGTCATCAGCTCGCAGGCTCACCTGAGACACGGCTGCCAATTTCCTCTGGCAAACAGTTAAGCAATGCTACGAGGAACACTTTTGGAAAAGGAGAAGCTGCAAGGGCCAAGGGCCGTCCTAGAAGAGCCCTTCCACCTTCGTCCTCCATGCTGCCGTCCGTGCTGAATGCTGCAGAACCACTGCTCTCAGGAGGGAGGCCTTGTCTGCAGAGAACCCCTGGGCTCAGAGGTCAGCACCGGCTGCCCATTTGCTACCGGGCCAAGTTCACGGCATTACGATTAGAATAGAAGGCCCTTCACAACTTGGGACCAGTTCACCCATGAGATGGCCTGACCCCACATGCGCCCCCTCGACCGGCCTGACCCACAGATCTGGCACCTCAGACTTCGTTTGCACTTGCAAGAAACCGATCATTTAGTCTGGCAGTTCCTACACTTTGGACCTCAGGAAGACGCCTTCACTGGACTAAAAACATCCTTGCTTAGGCAAGCCTACCCAGATATATTTAGAAAGCTGATCACATTTTCATCTTGTTTTAACTTTTTGTACATTTTAAAGTACTGCTGCATTTTTTCTTGATCTTTTTGTCTGTTTGTTTTTTGTAAACTGCTTTGAGGTTTTTTTTATAATCAAGCTGTGTTTAAATGTTGCGGAATAAATGAATGAATAAATAACGCTGGGCTCCAAGCAACCACAGTATGGGTTGGGTGGGGGAGAGAACAGCAACGCGCGCCCCCCATGACCGACAGAGCTCTGCCGTTACCTCTGAGTTAATGGCTGGTGGGGAATCGGTGCCTTTGGCGAGGGCATCTGCATAATGCCAGTTGATCCTGGCGGTCTGGCCGTCCTTGGGGGGCAGGGCTTCAGCAATGATCACCTTTTCTTGAGGTAGAATCATCCCACAGTCCCTGGCCACAGAGATGGCCGTCAGCATGTTGTCACCTGCGGAGAAAAAGCACGGCATGCTTCGCTGGGCCTCGGTTTCCCCTCCTGGCCAGCCCTTCCTTGCCCTTCTAATTCTTTACACTCTGCCATCCCTCCCCCCCTTTCTGGATCAGCTGTTTCCTCATTTCCTTTTTTTTAAAAAAATTGTTTTTTAAAAAGATTTTCTTGATTTACAAAGGTATGTACAATGTCTCTCATATTTTCCCCCCACATAACACTTTTCTTTCCCCCCTTTTTTTTTACAAATTGGTTTCATTTGTTGAGACATTAGGAAGAAAAGGGGGAAAGAGGTGCAGGGGGGGAAATGAGTGGGGTTGGGGTTGGGTGGCAATGTTTCTATTTTACTTAATATATGTGGGGTTTGGTGTCAGCATCGTTTGTGCAGGTTCTCTGCTGTTCACTTGTGTTCCTTTCGTGGTGAGAGAGGTTGGGGTTGGCCATGGGTGGGGTTATTTATTTGTGGTGGTCTTTGTTTTCGTGAGTGGGGTGGGTGGGTGTTTTGGATCAGGTTAGCCATATTGATTTATATGTTGTTGGTGGATTAGTGTCATTGTCTTGTTGGGCTGTGTACATGATAAAGGGGAGCCACACCGGGGTGAAGGCATCTTCTTCTGTTTGTCCCTGTGTCAGTTTCAGTTTATTGGTTAATTTTTCTACTAGGGCTGTTTCCCATACTATTTGGTCCAGGCTTACTCCTGACAGGTCTCTCCAGTGTCTGGTTATGGTGTTTCTGGCTGCTGAAAGTAGGTGGGTTATGAGTTCTTTGTGGTGTAAGGGGGCATTGTTGTCTTGGAAGATGTTTAGTAGGCCCAGTTCTGGGGTGATGTCTAATACTTGCTTAGTTATTTAACATATTTCTCGTGTGGCTGTTGTCCACAATAGTTGGATTTTGGAGCACTCCCACCACATGTGGAGGTATGTGCCTGTGGAGGTGCACTCTCTCCAGCATTTTGGTGAGGTTCCTGGGCGTATTAGCGCTACTGTTTCCTCATTTCCATTTGCAATCTCTAAGGATCACAAAACTGCAAAGCTGAAAGGGACCTGGGGGTCATCTAGCCCAACCCACCGCAATGCAGGGATCACAGGAAAAGAACCACGGACAGATGGCCATCCAACCTCTGCTCTTCAGAAGGTTGCTCCATTCATCTCAGTGCAGCACCTCCCTCTGGACGACACAGTCCTGCTCAGCGGCTGCACAAGGACCGCCCTCCACCCACCTGCTTCTGCCTTTGCAGACAGAAGAAGATGGAGATGCTTGGGGAGCGGGGCAGAGGGGCTCTGAGTCTGGCTAGGGGAGGGGGCCACCCAGAGCTCGGCTGCAGGGGGCTGCGCTGGAATAGAAACTCCGGCAGCAGCAACATCATCAACGACAAGAACAACGCAGAGCCCCTGGCCCGGCTGAGGCCCTGGCAGCCCGAAAAGGCTTCATAACAGCAGCTCACCAACCTGTCACCATGACTGTGCGGATATTGGCTTTGTGCAGAACTTCAAGCACAGCTGGGGTTTCTTGCTTGAGCTTATTCTGCATGACAATTAAACCCAGGAAATCCATGTTGCTTTCAATGGCATCTCTGCAGCAAAACAGGGGGTGAAGGGCGATAGGGTGGGAGGGAGAGAAAGAGAGAAAGAGAGAAAGAGAGAAAGAGAAAGAAAGAAAGAAAGAAAGAAAGAAAGAAAGAAAGAAAGAGGGAATGCAGACAAACACCATTAGGAAAACTACAGTTCCCTCCAGGGCCCGATGCACTGCAAAGAAAAAGTCACTCTGGGGACAATTTGCAAAGGGCCAACACATTATTCATGGCAGCAAAATCCTGTGCAGCCCACAAACTGCTCCAAAGGCTCTGTCCAAACTGGGTGAAAAGGCAGTAAAACAGCACCCGTTACTATATTATTATTATTATCATTATCATTATTATTAATGAATTATTTTTTACATGCATCTCATTGTGATCTACAAGTATATCATAAGAGTTAAAAATAAAAAGGCAATTTAAAAAGTAGTACTACTAACCTAAAGACTCAAAAACAATACAAAAATGGCAGAGACCTTTTCATTGAGCTGGACAAGGTGGACAGAACAAACATGTCTCCCGTTGTTTCTGAAGAGGGTTCCACAGACCAGGGGCAGGTGCATCGGAAAGCCCCCCCTCCCAGCTACTGCAAAGTGGGACTCGGCCACATTAGGCCTTTCGAGGACAGACCAGACCTTCCCCCACGGGACCCAATGGCCGAGGGAAAAGGAGGTCCTTTAAGGAACCTGCACAGGGACGTGCGTCCTAAACCCCCAAACCTTGAACTTGGCCTAGAAGCGGATGGGCCGTGGGTGCGAATCCCACAAGCAGGGCGTTATGCAAAGCAGTGCTGCCCGCCAATGCCTGAGGCTGAGCCTTGTGATGGCTCTTGAGAAAGGCAACACCATGGGCCGTGGGAGCTGCAAGGAGGTTCAAGAAAGACTTGCTTGCAAAAGGCACAAATCACTCAACACTAGCTTGGGCGTCTTTCAAAAACTGAATTAACTGGACAAATTGGTGGGAAACAGCTCTATTGGTGGCTTTTTGCTTAAAAGCAAAATCTCAGGGATCAGAGGCAGCCCACAAGGTGCTTGGGAAGGTGTAAAGGGGAAGGAGGGCCAAGCCTGGAGGGACCAGGGCCAAGAGCCCAAAGGAAGAGTGTTTGAAGAGGCCCCCTGTGACCCAACACAGGGCTAGGGAGTCACACGGCTTCAAATGGGCACCTCCCCCCCGCTCACTCCCAGCGCACCTACGTTGCTCTGGGATGCCAACTTACCGGGCGACATTCTGGACTTTGTGCCAGGTCAGTTTGGATTCCAGCCTCCTGTGAGCAAGGGCAATGACGCGGAAGCCCTGCCTGGTGTACTCTTCCAACACCCTCTCAAAATCCACGGGCACTGAAAGGGGATGGGAAGGAAAGGGATCAGAAGAAGCACCTTTCAAGGGAAGGTTTGGAGGAAGGAAGGAAGGAGCCCTCTCTCCCTTTACCTGTCTCTTGCTTGCACAGTCCGGCAACCACCTCCGGAGCCCCTTTGGCGTAGGCATCCATCCTCTTCTGCCCAAGGGCTCTGGCCACCACGCACATGCGTTGCAGAGCAGAGGAAAAGGGAAACTGCCGCACGATGCCAATCTCGTAACTGGCCTAACCGAGCGAGAGGAAGGGGGGAGTCAGGGCCTGCTCAGAGGCACAAGGGGGGAGAGGAAGGGAAGGGGGCAAGAAGAGAAGCAGAGAGAGAGAGGGAGAGAGAACACTCACCGAAAGTTCAAAGAGCTCCTGCAAAGGGGGTGGGAGGAGAGGGGACAGAAAAAATAAAATCATTACTATCTGCAATAATAATAATAATAATAATAATAATAATAATAATGTATTATTTATACCCTGGCCATCTGGCTGGGTTTCCCCAGCCACTCTGGGCGGCTTCCAACAAAACACTAAAATACAATAACCTATTAAACATTAAAAGCTTCCCTAAACGAGGCGCCAACTGCTTTCCAGAAGAATGAGAAGGCAGCTCAGCTTCTCCAGCAATGGACACTCAAAGCAGCTTCCTATCAGCTGTCCAACTGCCCAACCAGCATTTTCCCAGCACCCCATCTTCCAACCATCGGGTTCCTCTGAGAGACATCTATAGGGAAAGCCCCCCCCTAAAACGCCCCCCCACAGCTGGACTGGTCAGCCGTGTGACAACAGGCCACAGGTCTGCTGGGCGACTGCAGCTCCCTGGCCAAGGAAGGCCTCCGGCTCCAGGGTCCAGCCCCGCTTTGTGGGAGGAGGGGGCAAGGTGGGGGAAAGCTCTGCGCAGAACTACCATTTCCTCGTCGGCTGCCGGTTTTGGGTCGGGAAGAAGCTGCTTGGGTGGCTGGACCACGGTGGGCATGATGCGGTTGTGGAGGGCGGTTTCCTCCTCCGTCGCTTCTTCAAGAATCTGCAGGAAGGAAGCGCATGTGTGAGACGACGCCCTCTTCCAAGTGTGAGGAGCGTAAGAGAGGAGCCCAGCCGGATCAGGCCAAAGGGGGGGGGACCCCCAACCGCCTCCCAGCCAGCATCCTGTTCTGGCCCAGCAGGTCCTCTTGTGGGAAACCTGCAAGCAGCGAGCCGAGCCCAAGAGCATCTCTCTCCCCCTGCAGGGGTTTCCAGCAACCGGGATTCAGAAGAACCGTGGAGGCAGAGCAGAGCCATCCAGCAATCCCCTTCCTCCGTGTCATGGTCCAATCCTCTTTTAAAGCCATCCCAAGTTGGTGGTATCACTCCCTCCTGTGGGAGGGAGTTCCACAGTCTAACTCTGCGCTGCGTGAAGAACGCGTCGGGATGCAGAGGGTCGCAAGGCCAGCTGGGTAGCCCCAGCTGGGTCGTCTCCTTCCAGCCGCCCCGCTGCAAAGACCCACCTTCCTCTGCTCCGCCGTAAATCAGCAACCCAGGCTTCAAAGCCAGGGCACACTATACCAGCCGAGCGAACTGCGCACACAGAATAGGCGTGAGGCTTGTGGAAGCATACTACAACTACGGATTTATTAATCAGGACAAGGAGACATGTCGTCTCTCATTGTCTTCTCAGAGAGACAGGGAAAAGCAAAAGCTATACACACAAAGGAAGTTCCCAGCAAGCTGTGCTGGTATGTAAACAGACATGTGACATGCAACAGTTCCATGTCTGCAACTAAAGGTGGAATGGAAGTTTCCAACAGAACGTCCCTTTCCCCTTTGCCAGATGGAACAACCCACCACTTCCTCCCACTGAGTGCTGCTCTGCGGATTCTCCTGATCCACCCCACCACCCCCCAGCCAAGGTAGGAGTGGGAGTCCACTTCCTTAAGGTGAATCCCACCCTATGACCTTTCAGGGGTGTAATCAACAGCTCGGGTGGCCCTGCTGCCTTGCAAAGCTTCCAGCATCCCAAGAAGCGGACCGCAAGGAGAACTGGCTGCATATTTATTCATTTTACTTACATCTTGCCCCTTAGCCACAGACATACCCTTAAAACCCAAGCCTCATTTGCACCTGTGGAGTCTGAAACCCCAAACCAAACTGCAGGCAAAAGGAGAACTGCCAGAGAACCTCTCACCCATCCAGTGGCTTCAAACATCTTCAAGTCAAGCGGATCTCCTGAAAGGACTCCATCGATTTTGGTCAAGGAGTGACAGGTTGCCATGCAGGCAATGAAAGGCGACTTGACGAGGCTCTCGCTGCAAGCGCTTTGCTCTGGCAAGAGGAAACTAGATGCCAAAAAAGAAGAAGATTGGGAAGACAGCGTCATTCACATGCCAGGTGAGCTGGTTCTGGGAAGGTCCGATTCTCTCCCTAGGCCTCCAGACTAGACCGATAGAAAAGCCAAATTCCACTCAGCAAAAAAGCTGGATAAATTCTATCTGGAACCAACACAGAGCTTTGCAAGGGCACCAGCTGAACTTGGGCCCACCAGAAGAGCCTGCAGGATCAGGCAAAGGAGGCCCACATTCTCTGGCATCCTGCTCTCTCAGGGGCCAGACAGCAGCCCCCAAGAGAAAACCACAGGAAGGATTTAGCACAGGAGCAGCGCCCTCCCCTCCTCCAGCTTCCAGCAACTGATAATGCAAGCATTAGAGAGGAGTTCAGTTGCTGAGATTTTTGGGGCCGCCACACCCCCAGTTCCACAGACTCATCTCCAGTGCCCCCTACCCTATAAAAAGCATTATTCCCACTAAGGAAGAGATGAACACCGTAAGATTTGTAACAGTAACAATTAATTGCCCATTTATTCAAAATCCATCTAAAACTATTCAGTTCAATCAAGTCAACAAAACTGATGAACTTGATCTGGGGTTGCCAGCTTTTCAAGGTCTGAGAGTCATTTACACCTCCAGCCGCTTAGCGCCCCCTAGGGAATCCCACCCCAGGAGGTACTGCCAGCCCCTATGGGCACCACTGGTTTAGATACAAGGGGCCATGGGGTGGCAAGAGGAGGCCTTTTCTGCAGTGGCTCCCCACTTGTGAGATGCTCTCCCCAGGGAGGCTTCCCTGGAGCCTTCACTACATATCTAGGAGCAAGGGGAACATGTTTGTCTTCTCCCAGGCCTTGGGCTGCTTAAATAATCTGTGGCTTTTTAATTGTGGGGTTTTTTGGCCGGGGGGTGTTGCTTTTTTGTTATTACATTACGATTACGATATCTTTATTGTCATTGTCCCTTGCGGAACAATGAAATTGAAAAACTACATAAAACTACCACAAAACTACATAAAACATTCAAAACCCCTAAAAACTCTGAAACCCCATTTTAAAATACACTGTACTATAGAGACCCCTTATGCTGCGTTTAGAACCAGAATTGCATTAGCGTAGAAACTGTTTCTCAGACGGCTAGTCCTGGCCTTTATAACCCTATACCTTCTTCCAGAAGGCAGAAGCTGAAAGAGATCATTTCCGGGGTGCGCACTATCCTGCGCTATCTCTGCCGCTTTCTTATGGCACCTGGCAGCATAGATTTGATCTAAGGTGGGAAGAGTGTGCCCAATAATTCTCTCTGCAGTCTTTACAACCCTGGATAGCATTGTTTTTCCCCTGGCCGTGCAGCTCCCAAACCATAAGTTAGTACGCTCTCCACAGTGAAATGGTGAAATGCCATCAACAGGTCCTTTGAGAGATTGCTTTTCCGGAGGATTCTCAGAAAATATAACCTCTGCTGTGCTCTCTTCACCAGGTCTTTGCTGTTCTCTTCCGAGGTTAGGTCGTCTCTCAACTCCATTCCCAGAAATCGAAACATTCCCAGAAATCGAAGCATATTCTGTGTATTCTTTTTTTTTTTTTATGTTGCAAACTGCCTTGTATCCTGCAATTTCAAGGGGCTCCCCTGGCATCCTCTGATGGGCAGCCCTGGCACCTGGCAGAGCAGAGCAGGACCAGCTGAGGAGCCTGGGAGAGGAACTCGGTGCTTGCCAAGAGGAGAGCGCATGCGGTCCCTTTTGGTTTGGCCCAAGGGCCCTATTTTAACAGCAAGAAAGCCCCCAAGGCGGGTGACGTTCCACGGAAGCAGCTTACCGAGCGTTTTCAACCCTCTGGATTCCCCAGAGATCCAGGCCGTCTTCGGTAAGGGTGCCTGTCTGTGGAGGGGAGAAGGAACACGTGAAAAGCAGAGCCAGAGATACTGAGCAAAGTCTTTGGCCACTGGCCTAAGCACAGGGAGCGCCGTCTCAAAATGCGTCTAGAGGCACAGGACTAACCCCAAAGGAAGCAGGCCGACCTGGGAACCAGAAGGGAGCCCCTGGCCCTGTGGGCTAACCTAGCGGGAGGCCAAAAGAGAAGAAAAGGGGAGCTTCTGCAAATACTTCACCTTCCTCACACCCGAGTTTCAATTATTTCCGCACCCGCTGCAAGGCTGTGAAACTACTAGCCAGGACCCTCGGAGGGGAGGGAGCCAGACAGACGCCCCTCTGCCCCAGTCAAGTTTAGAGGGATCACATTCTATGCCCAGGAATCACCCTGTGCCAACAGCAGTGGCTGCATTTCCAAATGCTGGCCCTGTGCAACTACAGAAGGCCAAGAGCAGGACTGCGGCAAAGGTCTTGCCGCCTGGCACCGGTGGGCAGTGAATGTGTCAGCCGGGCAAGGCCTGCCCCTCCCTCCCATCCCTAAAGCAGCAGCGGGTGGAAGGGAGAGGTTCTGCAGAGCAGAAGGGAAGGCTTTCCTTGACATCGCCGCACTCGCCCCAGGCAACCTGCCCAGCTCTAAGCCCCTCAGAACACGCAAGTGCAACTCATTAAAATTAATTAGCCTTGCGTAAGAAGAGCCAGAGGAATTCAAGCTCCCTGCAGGATTTGCTTTCCAAGGCCCGTTCCCCCCAGTGAACCCTCCCTCATCTCCTGCCCCTCGGCTCGCTTTGTTGTTTTTTCCTAAATCAAAGGAGGTCTGTGATCAGCTCTGGAGGAAAAACAATTTTAGAAACAAAAAGCAAGGCATTCAGAGATTAGAGGGCCTGGCTGCTCCTGCTTTGTTTTGACCCTGCAGGGAAGGGGTCCAGGGTAGGATCACCGGGCCCCGGAAAAAAACCAAAAAGTAAAAATAAAGCCATGCTTTTGTGGCTATAATAGCCTCAGAGGAGGAGTCATCAAAGAGTTTTACAAAAGCACCGAAAACTTTTCCCTCTAAGCTGTGCCACTTCAAACTCCGCTCTTCTTTCCCCCCCAGCAAAAAGGAAGATGGCTCTGTGGTCTCTCCCTCCTCCTCCCACTCCGCCTGCGCACTCAAGCGGAATGAAGGACGGGGCTTAAAAGGGAAGAGGAGAAGACCAAACACCTGCAGGCCCCAGGGAAAGGGGAGGGCTGTTTCTGAGTGACTGCAGACGTGGCAACCCCCCCAGAGGCAAGCTCACGCGGATGCAGCGGGGAAGGAGCGCTTGCGCTGCAGAGGGTCAGTCTAGATGGCCCTCGGGGTCCCTTCCCACGCTGCCACTCTACATGCAATAGCTAGTCAGGCTCTTATGGGCTGTTTCTTTTGCTTAGGCTCCTCCCCTCCAGTCGCCTACAGCAGCCACCCCAGAGGAAGTCACAGGGCTGCAGGGCCTCTCCACCAGAGACCAGCAACTTCTCCTTCCTTCCTCCCACTCCAGCTGGGCACGGCAAGAGCCTTTTCCACCCCCCAGCAGCTTCACAGAACACCCACCTCAGCAAAACCAGGCATATACAGGCTGTGAGGGAATCTGGGCACTGGCCAAAGGAATTCTTCACTGGGTGACGTCAGAATTCCCTGGCTACTTTCTGCACAAGCTTCCCAAAAAGTTATCAACCCTCTCCTGATGCTTATTAAAAGATTTTCACATCTGTCGGGCAACGAAGCTGAAGAAAGCTTTCTAATCCCCGCCCAACACAAGTGCGTTCTCTCTGTGACTTGCTTCTTTGCAGGGATCTTACTGAATGAATCTCCTGCACAGAACCTTCCTGAGGGGCACTAAGCAAGGAGAAAACGCCAGGGTCCAACTTTTGCCCCTTCTGGGTCTGGCCTCGGCTCAGGACAACGCACCCGCCTGCGTCATTCCGCACAACTGAGCATCACAAGCCCCCCCTTGAAGTCTGTGGCAGGAGGATCTCAGAAGCCTCATCCTGAACTCAGCTCAGAATGTCTCAAGGGAAAATGGCAAATGATCTGCACCTTGTCAAAGCACACGAGGTTCAGCTGGCCGCAAATGTTGATCCTCTGAGGGCTGATGCAGAAGATGCCAATCTTCCTCAGCCGCCGTTGTGCGTAAACGATCCCCGCCGTCATGGCGGCAGGAAGAGCGGGCGGCACCGTGATGGTGATGATGTCCAGCGACTCGATGATGATGATGTCGGCCGAGACCTGCGGGAGGAGAGGAGGAAGATGAGGGAGAGCAGGGGCCAGCAGAGAGGGGGCCGGTCCACTGTCCCTCAGACCTCGTGGGGGGCCAGACTATATTTGGGGGGGGGAGAACGAATTCCTACGCCCCACAAATAACCCAGAGATGCATTTTAAATAAAAGGACACATTCTACGCATGTAAAAACACACTGATTCCCAGACCATCTGCGGGCCGGATTTAGAGGCAACTGGGCCAGATCTGGCCCCCGGGCCTCAGTTTGCCTACCCATGAGTGAGAGGGTGACTCACCGCTGGCTGCCCAGAGGCCAGGCTGGGTCCAGTTCAGCCAGCCCTTCAAACGCTTGCGCTGAGAGATTCCTGCAGCAGGTGCTGTGGGAAGCACCCACGTCCTTCGCCAGAGGCATTTCCGAGAAAGGCTTTTGCGTTGCCTTTGGACACCTGCAGCCTGCTGATCTAGCAGCACCGTTTCACCCTGGCAAGACCTTGTGCCAGGGGAAGGAGGGGAACTGGGAGCTGGGATGGGGAGCGTTCCTTTAAGCGCGGAATGTCCCAGAACCAGGCAGCTGCTGGCACAAAGCCCCCGCCTTCCTCTCTCTGCCAGAGCAGACAGGCAGCTATGCAAACCTGGGAGAAGGCCGTTTCCCATGCTCCTGAGATGCAGGTTTTGCAACAAGCATTGCGCACACTGCAGGCATCCGAGGGCCAGGGGCTGTAGCACTGCTTTCTGGTACAGTGGTACCTTGGTTCTAGAACTGAATCCATTCCAGGAGTCCATTCAACTCCCGAAACCATTCAAAAACCAAGGTGTGGCTTCCGATTGGCTGCAGGAGCTTCCTGCATTCAAGCAGAAGCTGCGTCGGACGTTCAACTTCTGAAAAACGTTCACAAACCAGAACACCTCTGGGTTTGCAGCCTTTGGGAGCTGTTTTGTTTTTGTTCAGGAACCAAGGTACCACTGTATTTCAAAAGGAAGCCCTAGCAAAACTAACAACTGAAAATCTATGCTGAACACAACCAACTGGGAACTATGTGAGTCGGCAATTTCTTCAGAGAGCTTTCCGGATTGGTTCAAGAAGACCATGTGGCAGGTAGGTGTGTTGCATCTGTGGATGGGCAAGGGGAAAGAACAAGCCACGTCTGGGCAAACTCCGCATCTTGGAGTTTGCCCAGATGCGGCTCTGCATAGGCAGAGAGACCGTGAAGGAGGAGGGGCCTGAAGCAACCACCGCCCCCCTCTGGCAAGGAGACGAAAGGGGTGGGACTCCTCCTACCTTGTGGAGAATGCTGATGACAATGGTGTAGAGGAAGCCGACCCCTGCCACCCCCACCAGGCAGAGCAGGAACATGTAGGCATCTCGGTAGAGCTTGAAATCCGTTGGCTTTGGATACAGGATGGAGCGGACCAGCTGCCCTTTAGAAGTGCTGAAGCCTAGGAGGAAGCAAGGCGGCTTTCAGAGACGGGACCGGAAGCGCAAACCTACAAGTCCCTGCAGCTAGAAGCCAAGGCAGCATTTTGTTTATGACCGTCTCTGGGCAGGCTGGGCAGGCAGCAGAAGTCCCTGCTACAGCAGCAGCAAAAGCCCACCTTCAAGGACAAGCAAGTCACTCAGAGCTACAACGGAGGAGAAAGGGCTTCATCAATGGAGACATGCGGATCTTCCAAAGGTGAGCCCTTCGGGTGAGGAGGCGAGGGAGGGAGAAAGCAAGTGCCCTCCGAAGAGATCAGGCCCAAGGCCACAGCTCAGCACCCCTGCTCTGCACGCAAAAGGTCCCAGGTTCGGTCCCAAATAGCACCTGCAGGTAGGGCTGGAAGAGACCTCCAAGTCTGAAGCCCTGGGGAGACCCTGCTGCCAGCTTCCATGGAGGAGGGGGCGAGGGGTGGTCGGAGGCAGCGATGCTTCTGCCAACTGGTTGCAGGAGGGGACGGGCCTCTTGGGCTCGGATCCTGCTTGCCACAGGCACCCAGCTGGCCACCGTGGGAACAGGATGCAGGACTAGATGGGCCACTGTGGGCCTGATCCAGCAGCACCTTCTTACGTTCAGGGCAGGCAACCCTGAGCTCACGGGCCAATAAAAGGCTGCCTTTGGTGTTTGCACAGACTCCTGAGGACAGCATCGGAGGGGCAAGAGGGAGGAGGCCAGAGGGACACCTCAGCACTGCACAAAGCTAGACTAGGTCGGATGCTGCAACTTGTCATGACCCATCACAGCTTAGCAAGTGAGAGAGAGAAATCCCAAAATCAATCAAATAAAGAGCTGGGCCCCGTGCCCAGGATGGCCTCCTACAGATGCTGTGCAGGATATTTGCGGAGATCCCCAGGGGAACATGACAGAGGGGAAACACACACTTGCTGCCTGCGCAGAAGGCTCTGTCTCACCTGTCCTGACCACGATGGCTTTGACCAGCTCCCCGGTGTAGAAGCGGGTCTGGATGACGGTCGTGCCGCAGAACAAGGTGTGCCTCCGGTGCCCCTCGGGACTGTACACCTCGTCCGCCAGGCCCCCCTTGGGCTCCTCTGTCGGGTTCGGCAGGTTGGTCTTTGTGACGGGAACGCTTTCGCCTTCAACGAGACGAGGGCACAGCTGACAGGGCGGAGATCCCAAGCCCCAGCAGCACCACCCAGGTCCCAGCTGCGGATCGGGGCCCCGCCGGGCGCTCCCCGTTACCTGTCAGCATGCTCTCGTTCACGATGCAGGTCCCGCTGAGGAGCACCGCGTCGCAAGGCATGATCATCCCGTTCAGAGGGACCACAATGACGTCCCCAGGCACCAGCTCCGTGGAAAGGATCTCCTCCACGCCTGGAGGCCAGGGAGAAGCAAAGGGTGAGATCCTGGCCCGGCAGCTGCTCGGGCTGCTCTTCTGCTCGGCCAAGGGCCCAGGGTGGCTGGCTGGCTGCTGTCTCTCCAAGGGAGCTACTTGCTAGGAGAGCGACCCCTGGCCCACGGGAGATCCCTCAGGGATTGGGACAGGGAGCGCTATCCAAGGTTGGAGTACAAGACACACCCCAGCTAGGAGAAGGGGCAGGAGAGACAAAGACAGAGAGACAGAGAGAGGGGCCCATGGGCCCATGCAAGAGAGAGAGACTGTAGTCTGAAAGGATGGTTGGAGGTTGGCTGCAGACTGAAAACACCTTTGAAGGGGGCACCGCAGAGCCTCTCCCTGGAGACCTCGGCCAGTGAGCAAGGAAGTATTACTCGGAATAGACCTCCTGCTATTAGCAGACCTAACTTAGTCCTGCTTATTCAATTCAATGCATTACCAGCAAGTAAAACTTAGCTGATTGTAGTCTTATTTATTTACTTGCCGCCCACCTTACTGGGTTGCCCCAGCCGCTCTGAGCCGCTTCCAAAAAATGGTAAAACCACAGTAAAACATCACACATTAAAAACTTCCCTATACAGGGAGAAATGGGTCTGCAGTCTGTTGGACTCCACTGGTGCTTCCTGGAGGGCCCACTATGGCCAGACCCCACCCCTGCGCCCAGCCAGGACAGTCCCCTGGGAGAGATGTCCGGAGAGAACTTGCCCCTCCCTCCAAGAAAGCCCCCTCCCCACAAGGAAGGCAGCAGATCCACTTTCCCTTTCAAATAAGCACGGTCCCCCCCCCGACCTACCTTGGTTTGCTCTGCTGACCGACACCCGGATGACGCTGTGAGCAGCTACCAAGTCATGAAGCATCATGTATTGCTGGGGAGAGAAGGGGGGGGCGTTAGTCAGCAGCACAAGGGGCACTAAGGGGATGGGCCAGTGACTCCCAGCTGCATCACTGCCCCCCACCCCACAAGCACTGTGGAGGAAGTGGAGCCCCGGAGCAAGAAAGCAGCCTGCTAGCAGCAGCAGCAGCAAGAAACAGGAGGCCTATCCGGGAAAGAGAGATTTGTGGCTGGCAGAAATGCCGAGCAAGTCGCAGGAGGTCAGCCTGTTCTGGAAGGGGCCAATGCCCCTTCCCCTGAAGCAGTGGTCCGTCCCCCACCTGATCAGCCTCTTCCTCCATCTCTGAGTGGTCCTGCCTCCTGAACCCCCGCCGCTCAGCACTGCCCTGAACCCCAGGAGTCGCTGGCTCAGTCTCCAGCCCCCTCGCCTCTGCCACACACTCGCCACAGCCTTGCCAGCACTAGGCCAACCCAAACGTCACAGAGTGGCTTGCAGGGCCCGGGGTGCCATCGAGTGGCACTTGCCTCCTCCTCCCCCTCCCCCCTGCTCCATTCTGGGACCCTCAAAAGCTCCCACCCTATTTCGGTTGCCCTAACAGATGTATTGCCCGGCTATGGATTTTGACATTTTCCTTAGGGCCAACATGGGTATCTTCACCATTTTTGTGTGTGCTGGAATCTAGTTCCGAATCTTCTCTCCTCCCAACTGCTGCCGCCCAAAGGACTCTGGGCGGCCCCCAACAAAACAGCTCCATCAGTGCAAAGGCTTCTGCCTGCCCCATGGAACGTCTCCTCCCTCTCCTCTTCCTCCCCAAACCTCCCAGAGCAGGCCTGGGGCAGGGGGTACACCAGGAAAGGAGTTGGGGGACGTTCCACAGCACCCACCTATATCCTTGCACTGACGGATCTAGTTTCCTGGATGCCACCCTCTGAGACGGCTGGGCAGAATTGGGCAAGGCCTCCTCTGCCCCTTAGTTCACCCCCATACCACACTTTGCACCACCAGAGTCACACATCTTTCAGAAGATCTGGCTGCCCTTCTGACTGCCTCCCTCCCACCCTCCGCTAGTCGCCATGTGCAGCTGTCACAACACGTGAGGAGATTTCAAGCTACGCCGGTTCAGCTCTGCAGGCTGCAAAGCGTTTGCAGAGCCACACCCTCAGCTGGGAAGGAGAAGAGTCAACATCCGACTACAACCCCACCCGTTGGGGGTCAAGTTGCACTCAAGAGCAGCAAACCTTAACAGGCCACGGAAGCGGAAGTTTGCCGCTGGAATGCCAGCCCCAGGGGAGTACCGAGGCAGCAGCTCACCTGCCACAGGTAAGCAGGCAGGCAGGCGCTCAAAAACAGCCCTGGAACTCACCTTCCGGATGGTATACAGTGAGCTAACAACAGAGATCAGAGACATTATCACAATGGCTGCAGCATAGTAGTAATATTCATCTGTGCTCCACAAGATCACACTGAACAGCTGGAAAATGTAAAAAGGATTGAGGACCTGGGGAGAGAGAGAAAACAAAACAAAGCAACGGATTATGCCTTTTGCACGAAGGAGCCGCCCTCCTCTCTCTGGTGCGGAAGGTCAAGAATTTCACGGCCTCCTATTACATACATTTTTAGAATTCAGACCCATCCTGGTCTGCGTGGGAGGGGAGTGAAGAGTGTGCCAGAAGAGCACATGGCAAGGATTCAGAGCTCCCCTCCTCTCCTGGCAGGGCTGGCCAGCTCAGTGGGGGCAAATGGTGCCCTTGAGGACTTCACCCGAGAAGCCTCTGCGCCCCCTTGCTCTCCCCTTGGCCATCAAGTGGTGCTTCTCCCTTGAAAAGCACGTAGAACCGAAGAAGGAAGTTGGAAGAGGAACACCCTCTTTTGAGGTTCAGGCTAATTTGACTGGATCTGACTTTCACACACACCTCTGCGCGCATGCAAAGATCGAAAGGCTGCGTTCGACACGGCTGTTCCGCTTGTGCAATGGAACTTCCCCCTCAACTCCCATGCAGCCCCGTCAAAATCTGCTCCAGGGGGCTGAGGGTTCCTCTGGAGCAGATTTGGGGGCCACGCAGGGACAGGAGGAGGAGGAGAAGCGTCGTTGTGCAAGCGGAGCTCTGACTACCCTTCAAATGTGTCCCCAACGGGGAGCCGATCCCTGGCTGAGTGGAAGGTGGGGAAGTGGGCCCCACAAACCACAGAGGGGGCACAGGGGTGGTCTAAGCAAGGGGCCAAGCACCCTGGCACCACCTGCGGGTTCCTATCTCTCCAAGGCCCCCAAGAGAGTTTCCACCTCGGTCAAATGGTGCCACTCCAACGCTGCCCATCCCCACCAGCCGCCCTGGGTCTTCCGTGGCATCAAGGCCTGGCGACTGCAGCACACAACCACCTGCCACCTGAATGCCCTGGCATAATGTCAGGCCTGGGCATGAGAACAGCCTTGCCGTCTGCTCGGCTTTCCTTAAGAGGCTTGCGGCTCACAGAGAGCAGATGTGACACTTGCCAGTTGAGAAGGAAAGGGCCCACCTAAAGCACAGAAACAGACAGACCACCACCCCCCAAAGCAGACAAACTGCCACCATTGCTCCAACCTGTCTGGTGAAACCTAGAGCTGCCCTTGCAGGTCTCCAGAACCAGAGGGGGAATCCAGGCCGGTTTCCCCTCCATAGTCTTTAACCCTTTCATGCACAGTTAATCCCCAGTCCAGATCCCACAGAGCAGCAGGTGGGAGCCCCCTTCTCCTTCTCTCTCGCAAAGAAAGACACATGCAATTCTTACCTCCTTAATCAAAAGTTTAAAAACGGAAGGCACTTTCACGGCAATTTCATTTACTCCGTAGAATAATTTTCTGTATGAAAAACAGAAGCCAAATAAATAAAAATAATATTTTTAAAAAACGGAAGTGTTTTGCTTGCTAACATGAACAGCAATCTATAAATTACTAAGAAGGGAGCAGCGGCGGCAGCAGCTGGGAGGGAGAATGGTGAGCAGGCAGCTTGGTGTTTTGCAAAACCCAGCGACCCAGAATGGCTCCCCCAGCCCCACCTGAAGGGCAGGCAGAGAGGCCCCCAGGCCCAGGGGCTCAAGGCAAGGCAGGCCTTGCATCGGGGGTGGGGGAAGAGATTTAATTGCAAAGATTCCACATACACACCCCTTTTGCACTTCAAAGAAGAAGAGGAGGAGTTTAGATTTGATATCCCGCTTTATCACTACCCTAAGGAGTCTCAAAGCGGCTCACATTCTCCTTTCCCTTCCTCCCCCACAACAAACACTCTGTGAGGTGAGTGGGGCTGAGAGACTTCAGAGAAGTGTGACTGGCCCAAGGTCACCCAGCAACTGCATGTGGAGGAGCAGAGACGCGAACCCAGTTCCCCAGATTATGAGTCCACTGCTCTTAACCACTACACAGTGCACTGCCATACACAAAACCACTACTGAGAGTAACTGCTCAATTTTCAAGGAACAGCTGCCTGAGAGGCTCCTGTACACCCCCACACACACACAACTTTTCTGTTTGAGTGTACCTGTAATCTCGCATCCCCTTGGTCAGCCCTGCGCTGTGTTCATTATGGATTGCCGAACAGGAAGTGGAGTCATCCAGACCCCTAAAGGAAAGGAGGAATATCAAACAGAGCGTGAGCGCGTGCACACACACACACAAACAGGAGTCACCAGCCAAAGTCCTTTCGGCAAAGAGGCATGAAAAACAGCCGGTGGCCCTTACTTTATGGAGCTGAAGTTCTGCATGGCGTCATTCCAGAAATACTTCACGCTGTGGTGGGTGAAATAACGGATCTGGAAGACGCATAAATACAAAGAGGCCATCAGAATGTGTGACTTGACAGCGACTGTTCATAAAAGCAAACTGAGCTGCTGATCATTTTGAAAGTCAAATGAAAAAAATGTGTGCAGTCCCAGCTGCCCCACACTGCCCCTTTTATTGCTTAATAATCTAATTATGCCCACTGCATTGGCGCTCAAATCAGAGGTCCTCACACTCCTGTGGCCACAAACCTGCCTGGGGCACCGGCTCATGGCTACCCCTTGCAGCATGCTGGCATTCCAATCAGAGCCCCGAATGGTGGAGCAGCTGAGAGGAGGGGAAGGGTGAGGCCTCTTCAGCGTCTGCTCACGCACCAGAGCCTCCACACCTCCCCCCAAGCTGCCTTCGTGCACAGCAGCCATTCCCAAGTAACCCCCAGGCGGAGGCAAAGGCACATGGATAAACGCTGCCCATTGGAGGCTGCCACGCAGAGGACGATCCCACAACTTTCCTACCTCCTGTAGGTGAGCCTGGGAACGTCTGTTCAAATCATTTTCGCCCTCTTCAGCCAGGTTGATGTCCAAATGACCACTGCAGCCATTTGTCATCTTCTCCGATGCATATTTTGGAGTCTGCAACAGATTGGGCCCCAAAGAAAGCACAATGCGAACCTTTGCACAAAACCATGTCTGGAATTCATCCTTTAAAAGAGAGAGAGAGAGAGAGCTTTCAGAACAAAAGTCTGACAGTGAGCTTCTGCGCCTTTGGATGATCTGACAAACATCGCTGGCAATTTGATAACTGCGAAGCAGGTGCTTAACTATACATGACTCTAAGCAGGTGTGTAAAGGGAGCCCCAGCCCAGAAGTGGGGGGGCAGGGGGGCGCAGGATGACACCACTGGGCTAAGCAAAGGGGGAGGAACTTTCAGGAGATGACTGTCCTCAGGCGCTGAGAGTTCACCCAGACCCTATGATACAGACACAGGGACTCTTGCTTCCAGCTTCCTCCACACCTTGTAGGGACCCAAACACATGCAGAAGGCAGAGGGACATTCTGCGCATGCGCAACCTTTGCTGTCCCCTCTACATTTCTGTGATTTTATGAGATTTAATAATGAGATGCCTTTTAGCACCTCTGGCAGGCTTCTGCATAGAATTTACTTTCTGCTTTCTTCCCATCTCCCCCAGCAAAGTCTGCCCCTTTCCCCTCTCCTCTTGAGCCTGCAAGGAGGGGCCAGGCCACTTTGTGTTTCCACAAACAGGTGACAGCTCCAGGCTGTGAATACGGCCCGCGAAGGCACCGCTTGGCCAGACTGCAGAACTGCACAAAGTTGGACAGACATGCAACTGGTCATTTCTGGGTGGTGGCCAGTCCCTAAGCTGAGGAGATCTCTGCACAGATCACATGTGAAGTCCAAAGCCCAGGGTCCTTGGGGCTACTGAAGGTCCAGGCTTTGAGAGCGGCTGCTCAAAACACTCCTTTGAAGAGCAAGCCCGCTTGACCCCTCGGAAGCTTCCACAAGAATTAAATAGTTCCTGCCAGTTTTTCAGCCAGGGCGGGGAGGCAGAAACCAGGGCGATGGCCCTCTGGATCAGACGCTCCTCCTGCCATGCAAAGAAAGCTTTGTGGGAGAAGCCTGTCCTGCCCAGAGGCCACGGCCAGCCTGGTCCTCCACGCCTCCCTGGGGATCTCCCCTGCCAAAGAGGGCGGCACTCACTGTTGTCCGCAGCAGAACCACTTTGCTGCCTCGGAGGGAAGTCCTCTTGCACGTCGCCTTCACCCGCCACTGAGGCATCCAGTAGAGGAGGAGGAGGAGGAAGCCGCCCGTGCACAGCACCCCCACAGCCACCAGGACCATCTTCCACCGGCAAAACGTGTAGCCGTAGATCTTCTGCAAGGAAGAAGGGGAACAAATGAGACCAAGGCAATGGCACAGCTGGCAGCGTGAGCAGAACAGCCTCAGGACGCCTCTGCTCTGCTCTCCCTCCCTGTGGCAGGACCAGGGGGGGGTCCTGGAGGTCGCTCGCTTCACGGCAGGAGCCCAGGGAGCCAAGGAGAAAGGGCAACTGTGAGACACACGGACACCGTCTACTGCAAGAGCTGCAGGTCCTATCAGACTCTTGCTGGCCACTGGAGAGCAGGCCAAGAAGCCACACATGTCACCCTGTCCGGCTGCTGACCAAGTGACAGGGAAAAAAACACCCAGGGCGAGAGGAGGGCAGAAAAACAGCCGAGGATAAAATCAAATGCAAAATGTGACCAGGAACTTGTCCCTAGTGAGTTTTCTCCAGCCTACGCCTGAGTTCCAAAGCAGAGTTACTGGAGGCAACTGAGAACATTTCATAAAAATCGCTTCTGGCAAGAGAAGGGAGTTTGCTTTTGTGCTCAAGTGCTGCTGATTCCCTGGGGCAAAAGGCCCTCAAGATTTCTCCACCAGCTGTGTTTCTAAGCACCCACCTACTCACTCGCAAGCTCCAGCTTGTGCGCTCAACCCCAGAAACCCACAGATGGGCAGACTGTCAGAAGACGGTTGGGCTGTGACACCAGGCCAGTGAAACACGTCTGCGCATGAGATACATGCAGTAAAGGCACAGGGCGTAACTGCCAGGGGCTGGATTAGATAACCCTTGGGGTTCCCTTCCAACTCTGCAATTCTGTGATTAAATTCCACATCTCTGGTTTGCTCTCTACCGCCAGAAAATCTAAGGATACTGGAAGCCAGTGAGGAGGCCCTGAGCAGCTTCCAGACCCCCCCACACCGCAAGAAGCCGAGATGGATGGCAGAACAGAGGGGGCTGTCTTGGCCTGGCCACCTTGAGCCTCAGAAGAGGAGCCCACTTGAAACTTCTGGATCAGGCCCAGCTGAAATGAAACACACTAGATGATGACGCAAATGAATCTGACCCTCCTCTCTTCAACTTGGGCAGAATTTTACTGTCTGGAAGAGCGGAGGGCGGGGGGGGGGAGTGTCAGGGAAGGGAGGCAAGCAGGCAGGTACTTGGAGGACGGCCAGAGGCTTCTTTCCACTGTCACACGGCAGAGGAAACAGAAGCAGCGGGAGCCCACAGGAAGATGGAAAGAAATCGGGGCCAGAACTCTGTCCGGAGCAGCTGCAGGGAGGCTCTGTGAGCTCCGACAGCAACAGAGGGGGTGGGAAAGGTGGGGCAGTCCTGACAAAGCAAACCCTCAATACCGACCAGAAGGCGGCCTGGGAATCCCCCTGCCCACTTTCTCCATACCAGGCTTCATTTTATAAACTTGTGCCAGGCCCCCCTTCCTTCTTTCAACACCCCAAAGCCCAACGTGCCGTAAGCTTCCTCCTAGAGCGGCTGCTCCAGCCCCTCTCAGCTGCCCTGCTCAAAAGCTCTTCCTGCTCTACGGTTTCCTTTTTGAGGCGCACTGAATGGCACTCCAAGGGGCGGGGCGCACCACAGATGCGGAAAACGGCATTATGACATTGGCAAGCTGATTTCCGGCCCCTTTCCCTAAAGATCCAGGAGATGGAATCTGCCTTTCCCGCAGCTGCCGCAGCCGGGATTGACATTGCCATCCCTTTCCTGGTCAGCCACACTCAAGGGATCTTTTCTCACCTGCTCACAACACCACCACCATGTTACTTATACGCTGCCATCTGACTGGGTTCCTTCCCTGGCCTTGTCATCGCCTCCCTCCCTGCTTGGCCAGATCCTTCAGATCCCAACACCAAAGCGACTCTCCTTCAGGAGAGGAAAGAAGCAGGGGAAGTACTTCTGTGTGGGCAAAGCTGCTGCAAAGACCCCACACCAGGGGTCAACAACCCTGTGGGGTCTGTGGGCACATTTGCAAACCAGGGAAACTGTTATGGGCACAAACACACACATGCTACAACCTTCCCCCCCCCATCAGCCAATAACCCCACCCGCCCCCAAAACCACACACGCCAAAAGCAGGCTAAAGTTGTCTATGGTGAAAAGAGGCTTCTTTCCGTGGAGGGAGGGGCAGGGGGTGGGACCCTGCAGGCGCCATGCCCCAGGCCCTCAAGGGCAGCCTGTGGGGATGGGAACCAGGAGAAGAAGGAGAAGGAGAAGAAGAGTTTAGACTTGATATTCAGCCTTAAGGAGTCTCAAAGCGGCTCACATTCTCCTTTCCCTTCCTCCCCCACAACAAACACTCTGTGAGGTGAGTGAGGCTGAGAGACTTCAAAGAAGTGTGACTGGCCCAAGGTCACCCAGCAGCTGCATGTGGAGGAGCGGAGACGCGAACCCGGTTCACCAGATTATGAGTCCACCGCTCTTAAGCACTACACCACAGCTTAGCAGCCAGTCTTCTGTGCAGGGGGCTCCTGGCATCTTCTCAGTCAAGGAAGAAAAGCCCTTCTATCCTCAGAGGTCCTGGGCTTGCAGACAGAAAAGCCTCACAAGGAGGACTCCAGAGAGCAAGGAAAGGCTCCGCTCCCTGTTTGAAAAGGAAGCAACTAAACCATAAAGCCAATTACCATCTCATCTTCCTCGCCTTTGTTGACCAGCTTTTCCTCATTCTCCATGTTCAGCGTGACAGGATCAGACACCAGCGGACCTGCGCTGAGAAAGAGGGGGAAAGAAGCCTTTAAGAAACATATCACCGAGATTTGCGGAGCCTGCAGCCGCTGCCGACACGTTCTTCAAGGACACCCCCCCGCCAAAGGGCGCACACCGAGCACAAGCACAGCTTCCCAAACTTTTCAGACATGTATCATTTCACGACACGGTAATTCAGTTTTACAAGCAAACCGGAGGTTAAACTAACCCCTTTCCAGACCCTGGAGGAGCGCTTGTGTGACACACTGCGGAAAGCTCTGTGCACAAGTCTGCTTAAGTGTCAGCTGCCAACTGGAGCCCCCACCCAGAAGGAAAACCATGGCAGGAGAACTGGAGGGTTATAGCTAGATCCCAACAGAACAGATGCAGCAGAATTTTAGCGTGAAACTCCTAAGCATACTTTGAATTCTGTGTGTTCTTGTAATGCTTTGCTCATGATACTTACAAGCATTTCTTCAAATATATCTATATCTATATCTATATATCTTTATCTATAGATAGATAGATATACCAAGAGGTGAAGTATTAGCCAGCGATGTTTCCAACAAGGCAAAGCAGCTCAAACTCTCCTCCTCTCCAACCCCCCAGAGCTGTTACACAAGAGTGGCCAGCATGTTCCTTCTTGACCCACACATGCCTTGACCACCCTGCTAACGCAGCAGAACCCTGACTCTCCACATTTTAATGCATGAGTTCTTCAGCTGAGGGTTTCACAGGACTTTTCCTGTTTCTTGTCACCTGGATTCCAGCTCGCATAGCAAATTCCCCATCGACACCTCATTTAATCTTTCCACCTGTGGCAAACATTTCCTATAACCTCTTGAATTATTTTCACGTCTGTCCATAAACGTTGCATAGCTCTGCATCCCCACTGCATGAGCAATCTTCGCAAGAGCATCCCAAGAGCCCTGGGGCTGGATCAAGCCCGTGGCCCACCTAGGCCAGCATCCTGCTCTAACTGTGCGCGAAACCTGCAAGCAGGACTGAGCACAAGAGTCCTCTGCCCCTGACTAGGGAGCCAGAGCACAGCCACCAGGCCTGGAAGCCTCAGTCAGCCTTATCCTCCATGCATTTCCCAAAACATTTTTCCAGCCCCCTGAGATGGTGGTCCTGGGGGAGTGAATTCCAGAGTTTAACTATGCACCCCCATCACTAACCAGCTAACGCTAAGCAGCACAACACTTCCAGAAGAGCAGAAAGCTGTTCCCGGACAGAGGGGAATGAGGCACCTGCAGGCAGGGGCGGCTGTATTCTAATTTATTGTATAGGGCCTCCTAATCTCAGGTGCTTTATAAGTAATAAAGTTATTAAGATCTTGAGACTGCCCTGAGAGACACTCAGCGAAATCCCTGTTCTCACTCCTCCCTCTGGAAACATCCCAAGAGCTCAGCTGGGCTCCACATATACTTGGAGCTGCAGGGGGGGGGGGGGGAGAGACAGAGAGTTGCTTTCATACAGTTTTTCCACAATGCATGCTGAATTTCTATCTTACGAATTAGGAAGAAGCATTAGGAAGAACTTCCTGACAGTAAGAGCTGTTAGACAGTAGAATTTGCTGCCAAGGAGTGTGGTGGAGTCTCCTTCTTTGGAGGTCTTTAAGCAGAGGCTTGACAACCATATGTCAGGAGTGCTCTGATGGTGTTTCCTGCTTGGCAGGGGGTTGGACTCGATGGCCCTTGTGGTCTCTTCCAACTCTATGATTCTATGATTCTATGAATATATCAGACCAGCCACCATCGGTGCGCAGAAGTCCCTGAGGTGACCACTTTCTGCAACACCACAAAACCAAGCTCAGAATATGTACAAAATGCTGAACAGGCCTAAGGCCACCCATACCTTCATTTTAGGCTACAACTTCCTCTCCTGCGAAAGACAAGAGTTTTCACAATGAAACCTGGCACAGCGTCCACAAGCTGATCCAAACGGCAAAAAATGCCTCCATGGGAAATAGCTGACTTCCTGTGCTTACTTACCTATGGCTGAGTGTTTTCAAGTGGCCCAAGGTGCCATCCTCTTGAAGGAAGCCTCCAGAGTTTAACCGTTAGCTTCAAAACAGTGAAGAGTTTCTTTGCAGGTGATGTTATAAAAGGGAGGGTGTACTATGTTCTATAGTCAACATGGGTTTTGCCTTTTGAGAGTGAAGTCATCTCGTAACCAGGCATTTGCACTGGAATCAAAGGGTCACACGGTCCTCTCTCCCCACCAGATGAAATAGCTCTATAAATCTTGCTGACTGCCCTAAATTTATGAAAGGGTTTTTTGCACAGGATGCGTGAGTTGCCGCCCTTTGGGCTCAAACGCTCCCCAGCCAAGGCAAATGTCCCTCTCTTCACTCTGCAAATCAAAGGCTTCAGATGCCTCAAGAATCAAGAGCGACATCAAAGTTTGCAGCCAGCTCAGAGAAGGGCACCAGAATCAACCCATTCCATCCCCGGGTATCTTTGCGTGCCCAGCGATGCCTTCCTGGGCAAACCTCACTGAGAACATCTGCAGGACTCACAGAGGCAAAACTGTTCGTGGGGCTGGCAGGAGAACATCTCCGCTTCCGTTCCCAAGTTGCCCACAGCTCTTTGAACATCCCCACCCTCAGAAGTTCTTCAAGAGAATGAGAGCAAGGCCTCCAGAGGGGCACAAACTCCCAACCAGACGCCCTCCCTCCCGGCTGCCAAGGGTTCACCCACCAGCTATTCTGCACACGGCCACAGCTCGGCTGCTCCTTTTCCAGCACAGTCAAGGGGAGGCCACGGGACCGAGCAGCGGGGCTAGAAACTCAGATATATAACCTAATCCCCAATGACCTTAAACCCAGGTTGCAGTCACCACAGTGGAATGATGGAGCTGTTATTATTATTCATTTCATTTCAATAGCACTTTCTATTTTAAAGAAGAAGTCTCAAAGCGGTTTACAGCACATGAAAACATCAAGCCAAACAGTCCAGAAGACAACCATTCCAAAGCTTCGAGGGAAATTTCTCAGTGACTTTTGGCCTTCCCCAGTTGCCAACCAGGCATCCAGAGACCTCCACTTGGGCACAGCAAGTGGTCCCATGCCAGTCAGTAGACGTGCCTGGCATCTGGCTCATTTCTAACACTGGCTAGGAGAAAGAGGAGGAAAGGCTTTTGGAGCAAAGGGGCATCGTGAGCCCAAGAGGAGCCCGCATCTCTCACGGATGCCAGCCGCTCCAGGAGAACAACAGCCACCGGTGCTGCAACCACACAAATGACAGGTAGCAGCAGCACTCCTGGCCTCATTCTGCACCCTGCGGAGGTCACCCCTAAAGCCAGCCAGAGAGCAGCAGCTCCACTGCATGGAGGACGGAGAATTCCCCAAGCAGCCTTCACCCGCCTGGTGCCCCCAGCCAGAGATGCTCTGGGCCGCGGTTCCATCAGTCGCAGCCAGCACAGCTGTTTGCAAAGGCTGACAAGAGCATTAACAGAACAGAGAACGAAGAATATGAGTTCACCTGACCCTTAAAAGGGGAGAACCGGAAAAGGAAAGACAACGCACTTAAGAACAGACAGAGGCTCCCACCTCAGGCCACACGAGGCCAACAGAACAATGTCCTCCTCCGGCATAAGTGCCAATTGAGCCTTATGAATCTAGAATGGCAAGAGGCGCCAGTGGGTGTAGGAGAACCCCAAGGTTTGCAGAAGGACAAAAGAATGCCCCCAAAGCGGCCCAAGAAGGCTGAGCCACAGATTTCTGGCTGACTGTCGGATGGGAAACAGAAAAGAAGGAATGGAATGAAGGAGGGCGCAGTTCACTGGCTGGCACAGGAAAGAGGGGAATTCCATAAGACAGTGACTTGTTGCCAGCCCTGCTTTGTCCTGTAACACGGAATGCCATTTCCCCAGATCCACTCAAAAGTAAGAGAACCGACAAGCTCCCAGCAGAGGACAAGTGAGAAAGCAACGAGAAAGCTAAAAATCATCATCATCATCACCATCTGGTAGAGAAAGGAGAGAAAATACTTGGAAATTAATAATACTTCAATGCCCTCCTGAAATAACGTTACACTTGCCTCATAAACAACAGGGCTTCACCGCTGAGTATTCTTAAATAGTGCACCAACTTTTGAAATTGTGAACTTGAAAGGCTGAAGGGGAGACATGAAAACAAAGTTTCCCTGTAAGCTTGAGCTCTGGAAGAAAACAGTCCACCCCCAAAAACGAAGACAATCCCACCATCTCTTGGACCTCAGCAACCCAGGAGCTGCTGTTGGCCAACAGCCAGGCCCTTTGCACAACAAGGCGGGAGAAACCTCACGAGACCTTCAGGGTGAAGCAAGAGCACATGGCCACCCCCACTGCTTCCGGGTCTAGAAGACACAACACACACCTGGCTGCCTCTCTTGGCACCAGCAGGGCCCTTCCTCTCTTGGGCGGCAGCATCCGGACAGCACCTGCCAGGGAGAAGATGGGCCAGAGGCAGGCAGGCAGGCAGGCTGCGCCTCGCTGGACCAGCAGCCAGAGGAGACAGGACTGGCCTCACTGGAGCTGCAGCTGCTTTTATCAGTGGGGCTTGTGTGAAGCCCTTCTTAACAGCCAGCCCCCTATCTACAAGGGAAGCCCCGCCAATGAACTATTTTGTCTCAACCCTTAAATAAGAAAGCATCCAGAGGGCAGCTTCGGCTGCCTTATCAAGAGCGCTTTTGGCACCCCTCGCCCTGGAGGGTTGTTTGGAAAAAGGAAAACATCCCCCACAACAATTGCAAGGCGGGCTGGGGCTGGGGTGGAGGACGTGTCTGCGGCCCCCAGACAGACGGCGCAGCCCCCTCTATTCAAAGTGCCCTAACGGCCCGCGAGGGGCCAAGCCCCCGGCCCCGGCACAAGGCACATTCGCCCCGATGTTATCTCCATCGCCAAAAGCATTGAGGATATTATGCAGCCGGCCAAACCCTTCCTCGCTCACACAATGGGCAGCTTTGTGCTCGGAACCGGAGTAAACACACAATGCAAGACGCAAAAATGGTGAAACGGGCGCCAGCACTTTGCAGATGAAGTCAGCCTGACTGTCCATTATCATTTGCTCTGTGGAATAAATATGAAGCCCCGCACGGTCAGTGCTGGAGAACCAACCCTCCTGGAAGAGGCCAAGAGTCAACGGCGGCAAGGAACTTGAACCAAGGGCCTGGACTCGTGACTTTCAAGAGAAAGAAGAGAGCCGCGAGGATTCCAGGGTCTCCATCTGCAATATCTCTAGAATTCGCAATCTTTCTAGACCTCACTGTTACGGGGAGTCACATAAAGAGGGACGTGATACAAGCACATTAAGAAAGAAGAGTCAGACGCAAGGAGGCCCAACTGGTCCAGCGATGCATCTCCCACCACAACCAGCCAGAAGCCAAGGCCACAGCAAGGACACACATCTGAACAACAGCTCCATCCTGCTCCCACTCCCCAGAAAGCGGCTCTGGCGCAGGGGGGCAGGGGGAGTCGTCATAACTGGCAGTCCTGGATAGCCTCTTCCTCCTCCTTCATGAACTTGTCTAAGCTTCTGCGAAATCCGCTTCAACGTTAGTGTACATCATCACACTTCTTGGTAGTTCAGCTACGTGCTATATTTATTTACTTAAAACATTTCTAATGGCTTTGTGTCTCTAAGGGGTATACTGCGTAAAAGTTGGAAGCATCACCAATAAAACAAAAAGACAACACAAAACCAGTAAAGAAGTTGTGCAAAAGCACAGAGAAACAGGAATTCGGGGAATTCCTACAGATTAAAACAGGGCCTGGGGGGAAACAGCTGTCTCTACAAGGCACTTGAAGGGGAAGAGAAAGGAAAATGAGCAATAGCACAAAATGCCCCTTTTGGGGTCACCACCATGTGACCTTTCGTGGGGTGCAGTACTGCAAGCAGACTCTCCCCAGGTGATCTAAGTGATCTTGCAGGTCCTGTGCATGAATGAGTCCGTTCTTTTGAATCCTCCCCACATTCAGCTTCACTGAATGACACACCAAGTGGGTTATTATAACACAAGAAGCAGACTTCTCCCCCCCCACACACAAACCCAATTTTTACACCTGTCCTCCCCAGCTCACCACTAGCCTGAACCACCACCTGCTTCAGTTCCTCAGACTCCCCTGCTGCAAAAGCAAGTTCACAACTGGGAGCTGCCCTTTATCTTCTGCTGTGAAGACAGACGCAGCTTTTCTACAATCTCCTTATCCTCCTTGAGCAGCCACTGGCTCCCTGGTCAGATCCCTTTCAGGTGGTCAACTCCATCGCCTGGTCAAGAGGAGGAAAGAGCATCAAGAGTCCAGCCCGGATTAACTCCATAAGCACCTTTTCTGCTACTGCAGTCAGCCAGCCAAACAACTAGAACCATTTGGGGATGAGTTGAAATATGGCCTGGATCTTCGGTTCTGCTTTTCAACAGCCAGTTTGGCTCCAAGCTCCCTGAACACCACTAAAAGTTTCATCCATGTGCAAGTCATGCTCCAACGCAGCATTGCTCCGCTCACAGAAGTGACGCGGGGCCACCAAGGGAGATGGCCTTTCTGAAACACCCCATGGGGCTTGCTGCAGGATGCCGCCACCACCTTTACCCGGCTGGTGCCTCTCTCCTCCTCCTCCCTCGTTCTGCTATGCTAGCTGTTGGCCCAAAAGGCTTTGTCCATCTCGCTGTGTAATAACAGATATTATTCTTCCTGCGGTTCTTCTCCGAAAAGAACGCTCCAGGAGGAACCAACGGCTCCACCTCCACCCAGAGTGCTGGAAGGCACGGGGACAAACCCCCTGGGAAGACGCGTGGCCACCTGAGCAGGCATCTGCCCAGGTCATCAGGAGGCCTCGTGATGCTGAGAGTGCAGGATCGAGGGGAAAGGGTGGTGGACCTTTCCAGTTTAAGCAGATCACCCAACTGATGCCTCCAGCTGCTGCTATTCGGGATTTCTGCTTTGCCTGAAATGTCAAATATTGATCCTATACAGTATATACAAAGAGACTACTGAATTTCCACCCAAGCACGTCTCTGAAAAGTTATTATTTGTACCTGCGAACAAAGATTAATTCCAGTGCCCTTTGAAGAGGCTCCTGTGGACAGAAGGTGCAAAGCAGCTCCTGCCTGGGGCAAGTGACCTCCCAGTGCCTTGGACTCCTCCAGCTGGAGTCTAGCTAGCCAAATTGGAGGTGCTGCCACTGCTGCTCCCAGCCTGGGCTTCCAGCCCCCATCCCGCCCCCACCCCAGTCCAACTTTATACTCCCTGATTCTCTGCCTTGCCTTGGTACAGACAAGCCCCCCACCCTCCACCCAAGAAACTACTTCTGCTGCTAGAATGGCTCAGTTGCTGAACAGCAAACAAAGCTTCACACTTTACTCCACTAACAAACCTGGTACAATAAGCATGAGATCACTGCTCAGTGAATACCTGGAAATCTTGCAAGCATACCAGATCGGTTCAACAAAGCCCTCCTCTCAATGCCCATTTTATCACTTCCCATCTTGGGCTTTCTGGTATAATGCGGGCTTTTGTTTCAGAGTTTAGGCTTAAGGAAGACCATTGTATCTAGCAAGCACCAAACCAAAATGGTATTTACATTCGTAAAAAGTGGATTCTTTACATAAATATATGTTCTGTTGCGAAAAGCATGCCGCATTTGGTGGTTGACCGAGCTAGATTTGAAAGCAAAGATTGTAACAATCCCAGGAACTGTTGGTGCCTAGATCTGTGATCCTTGGTCACGCGTTACGGCTGCAGTCCAGCAGACACTTGGGAGCAAGTCCTCGTTGGACTTGGCAGGGCTCACTTCTAACTCACTTCTGACGGGCACACCAAGAAAAAACACACACACAGATTTTGACTGGACCCTTTTCCGCACAATGACACACCCAAGGATGGAATTGCTCATGTGCGAAGGAGACCCTCTTTGCTTACTGCTGAAGGGTTGACTCGACAGCCCCGGCAGGCCCCCAAAACCTAACAGGGTGTCCTCACCATGTTTTCCCACGCAAATTATAACTACAGCACAATGCCCCCTTCTACTTACACTCCAGGGAGCCACGGAAATGTCCTCTGCACCATCTGCTAGCCACATGCGACCAACAGGCGCACCAGCGCTTGCCTTGCTGACCTGTGCAACAGCCGCCTTGCTGGACGGACCCAGGAGGTCCATCCTGCCCCAGATCCAACTCCAGGAAGCAGATGCCCCCGGAAGCTCTTATTCAGGAGTGTTGCCATGTCCTCTTCTGGCAGGCATCACATCACGGCATACACTAGGCCAGACGTCCCTCCTCTTCCACAAATCTGTCTGGTCCTTTTTAAAAAGAAAGCCGCTTGCGGTCCAGAGCTGTGAATGCTCCACAGGAAGGCAACCCAAACTTTTGCACTCAGCCCACACTTTTAAGGTAAAGGTAAAGGAACCCCTGACCATTAGGTCCAGTCGTGGCCGACTCTGGGGTTGCGGCGCTCATCTCGCTTTACTAAGCTGCTTCTGGTGAACCAGAGCAGCGCACAGAAACGCCGTTTACCCTCCCGCCAGAGCGGTACCTATTTATCTTCTTGCACTTTGACGTCCTATCGAACTGCTAGGTTGGCAGGAGCAGGGACCGAGCAACAGGACCTTCTGATCGGCAAGTCCTAGGCTCTGTGGTTTAGACCACAGCGCCACCCGCGTCCCTCAGCCCGCACTTTACCCCTGGTTATTCCTGGGCAGGTTCAACTCAAGGCCAAGCAGCACTTAGCGCTTGTGAGTCACAGAAATCCAGTAAACTTTGATCGGCTTCAGAAGTTATTTAATAACTTGACCCCCACCCTGAGAACTAGCAGGTCTTTTAGCAACAGGGAGGAACTTCTCACAGAGCCTAATGGAATGCCCCTGCTCCCAGTATGTCATCACTCCCTCTGCATTTTGCCATTCCTTGTAAATGTAACTCCTATAATGAGGAAAATCTCCAGGGAGTTTGGCAAGGATCTGCAAGCTCCCAGTAGAGCCCGTTGGACAGGATCCCAGCAGCCGCCCCTAACAAGCACCTCTAATTGCTGCAAGTGCATTTTGGCAGAAAGCAAACGAAAAGGAAAGCCCTGTGCCATGGTGCATGCGCAAAGAAGGCTGGTGGGAGGGTGGGAGCCAGGGGAGGGACGCTTCTCTTGTGGGGACTCAAGAGCTCACCTAGACCAGCCGTGTGCTCAGGAACACAATTCCCAAGATCCTGAAGCCTCTCTCCCCCAGCCTCTGAAAGGGTTAAGGAAGAGATTCCAAAGCCTCTCTGAGCAGCTTTTTCCACAGCGGCTGCTTGCGGGGCTGGTGCTGATTATTCTGGCGCTGAGACAACCGCCCAAGGCGTACATGCGAAGCTGCGAGGAATCTTGGTATTCTATCCAAACTGCACCTCCATCGACGGAAACATTTTATATATGTACAAAATCATTTATTCTGCCACCTTTTTGAACAGGGCCTGCCGGAGGCAGCTCACAGTGTCATAAAATAAACACACCATACTTCTGAAATCTCTTGCAAATCAACACAAGCAGCTACATTGACAATCTGACTCAGTACTGCCTACACTGACTGGTAGCAGCTCTCTAGGATTTCAGCCAGGGAGCCTTTTCCCAGCCCTGCCTGGAGATGCTGCCACTGGGGCCTGACCACTGGACCTTTCGTGTGCAAGGCGGGGGCCCTTCGCCTTTGTGACCCACTTCAAACAGTCGGCAAATAAAGCAGCTCAAACGCGCGTTGACCAAGACCACAGATTCTGGTCAAGGTTCTTGCGCAGCCTGGCTACAGAATTCTTTGGGGCGAGAGGCTCGCCATGGGTGCCCTTGGCTCTTGTGGGTGATGGGAGCAGACAGAACCTCCCTAAGGGAAGGGGCACTTCCTGAAACCACAGTTAGGATCCTAGTAAGACCCCCTCCTGCAATGGGGGGAAACAGAATTGCTCCAAATGGACCTCAGTGAATTCTGGTTTTCTGGTGCCAAACAGGCCGCTTTAGGTCAAGGTGATCAAGCCTGTTGTCGCAGCCTGGGCACAAGTGTTCCTGGATGAAACAGAGTATTTGATGCCCACCTTGGTTCTGGAAGTGCCCTCTTCATTAGCGGCGCCAACCTCTGGTGGCACCCGGGTTGTGGAAGACCCTCTTTGGGGAGACCTGCTAGGTTCCTCAGCTGCCCGGCTAAACACAAGGAGAGAAGGAAACAGCCTTCTTGCTATATTGGTCCGGCTACCTCTAAGATGCCTGGATTTTCAGCCGGGGGTCTCCCCACGCCATACCGGGGAGCCTGGCGCCCTTCACACCTTGAGGAGGGAGGAGCTCTGCCCCTGAGCAACTGCCCTTCCCCCTGAAGCCAAGGGGGGAGAGAAATATGTCACTCAGAGGTGTGGCTGGATTCCCAACTCCCAGCCAGGGTGGTCAATGGCTAGGGATGATGGGAGCTGCCCTCTGGCCATGTCTGAAGGGCCACCACAGTTCCCCTCTCCATGCAGGCCCTTCAAGGAGACCAGCAGCAACAACTCTGGCTCTCTGCCCAGATACTTTTAGCCACTGGTGCTCCCACATCTCACCATCATGCAGTTTAATTGCAATTTCATTGTGCGCACTCTGCATACGAAGATCTCTGAGTTCCCCACATGGCAAGATCTAGGGAAAGCAGCAGATCTGTGCCAGCTAAGTTGTGCCATGTTGTATATCGTTCTGTGCCCAGGGGGCCAACACACTAGAGCAGGGCTAGCTCGCCAAACCCCTCAAAAGACTCTCCGACGGGACCCCTCCCGGGTTCTCCATCCATCTATCTATCTATGAATTCATTTTTCTGGCACCTGCGCAATCGCCTAAAAAAGCCCCACGTTCAGCTGCTGGTCTGCTGCACTTGAAGGCGAGTACAGGAGATGAGGCCAGGTATCTGGAGCACGCAGCCATCTTCTGATCCGGCCTCCGGCTCGATTTCCTGGCCTGCTCGGGCACGTGGGGCAAAGGGAAACCCCTCGCTTTCCCCGCGGGAAGCCGAGTCGGAGAGCCCGAGGGGCGCCGGGGAGCCGAGCCGCTTCCCCGCCTCCTTCTCCGGGGGCTCGGAAGGCCGCCATCGAGGAGACGGAGGGAAGGAAGCGGCGGCGGCGGCGGCGGCGGCGGCGGCGTCCGAACTGGGGTCCCCCCCTTCCCCGAGTGGGGCCACGTGCGAGACAGGCGCCCGGACGGGCTGGGAGGGAAGCCCCGGCCCCCAGGACGGAGAAGGCGGCCCCCCTGGGACCCCCGCCCGGCCTCCCCGCGACACCCACCTGCGGCCTCCGCCCGGAGGGGACCCAGGCGCCTCCACGTGTCAGCCGCTTCCCACGCGACGCCCGGCCGGGTCCCTCTGCGCAGGCGCCGCCGCCGCCGCCGCCGCGTCCCTGCCGGGCCTCCTCCGCCTCCTCTCCCGGCTCCCCTTCGGCGACGGACGGAGGGAGGGAGGGAACGGCCGGGCGGGGGGGGGGAAGGGGGGGCTCGCCTCAGCTCTCCGCCTGCCTGCGCCCCCGGCCGCCGGAAGCGCCTCACTCCGCCGCGCCGGATGCGACGTCGCCCCGCCCCGCCCACTTCCGCTCGCCGGCCGGCTGTTGCCCGGCAACGCCCGCGCCCGCCCCGCCCCGGAATGGCCGAGCCGGAAGGGAGCCCGGGAGGCATCTAGTCGGGCCCGCGCAAGGGGGGGGGGCGAGTGGACTGTGTGTGTGTGTGTGTGTGTGTGTATATATATATATATAGAGAGAGAGAGAGAGAAGTGATGTATGGAAGTGAGAGCTGGACTATAAAGAAGGCTGATCGCCAAAGAATTGATGCTTTTGAATTGTGGTGCTAGAGGAGACTCTTGAGAGTCCCATGGACTGCAAGAAGATCAAACCGATCCATTCTGAAGGAAATCAGCCCGGAGTGCTCACTGGAAGGACAGATCCTGAAGCTGAGGCTCAAGACTTTGGCCACCTCATGAGAAGAGAAGACTCCCTGGAAAAGACCCTGATGTTGGGAAAGATGGAGGGCACAAGGAGAAGGGGACGACAGAGGACGGGATGGTGGGACAGTGTTCTCGAAGCTACCAGCATGAGTTTGACCAGACTGCAGGAGGCAGTGGAAGACAGGAGTGCCTGGTGTGCTCTGGTCCAGGGGGTCACGAAGAGGCGGACACGACTAAACAACAACAACAAATATATATATATATATATATATACACACACACACACACACACACACACACAAATATATATATATGTCTGTGTGTATATATATGTGTGTGTGCGCGCGCGCACACGCACACAAAAACACACATACACAGTGGTACCTTGTTTTGCAACCAGGATCCGTTCCGGAGCCCCAGCCGCTAACTGAAAAGGATGCAGGGCAAAGTGCCACATCTGCGCACACACACGGAGCAGTTTGTGCTTCTGTGCATGCATGAGTAGCAAACCCAGAAGTAACCCGTTCCGGTACTTCCGGGTTTGCCCCGGACGTTCACCGGAATGGATGCTAGACGAGGCAGATGTTCGTGGTGGTATTACTCTGTGTGTGTGTGTATGTATGTAATTTCTATTAAATTTTCTAAAAATAATAAGAAAATTGTCCAGTAGCACCATAGAGACCAACTAAGTTTGTTCGGGGTACAGTGGTACCTCTGAAACAAACGCAACCCGCATCTGCGCACACACGGGTTGCAATTCGCCGCTTTTGCACTTGCGTGTGACATCATTTTGCACGTCCGCGCATGCACGAGCGGTGAAACCCAAAAGTAACCCTTTTCGGTACTTCTGGGTCACCGCGGGACGCAACCTGAAAACGCATAGTCTGAAGCAAACGTAACATGAGGTATGACTGTATAAGCTTTCAGATGAGGAAGTGTGCGTGCACACAAAAGCTTATACCCAGAACAAACTTAGTTGGTCTCTAAGGTGCTACTGGACAATTTTCTTATTTTTTTATTCATTTCAAATGCGTCAGATCAACACAACCACCTACCTCAATTAAATTTTCTGTTTTACAGTTTAAGTACTCCTTTTTACATCCTTAAGATGCCTCCACACAACCGCAGCTTCTCCACACAAACCAGGAAGTGGCTTCTCCAGACAACAGGCGGCCTCTCCCGCGAAGGCTGCCACCTCCTGCGTGAATCAGACACTGTCCGGCAGTTGGGGGCACATGCGCCCTGTCTGTTGCCCTCCCCAGGACCCTGGCAACCCACGCTATGCCACTGCCCCACAGGCTTCAACAAGTTGCTGCCACCCCAGTATTGGCCTACTGATGCCCTGGAGGGCTTGGAAGGGCCATGAGACAAACTCCCCGAGGAGGAAGAGGTGGCAGCTCTCAGCCGTGAGCCAGTGCATCCTCCATGTTCAGGAACGGCCTGTCCCTCTGCACACCATCCATGTGCGGGCAAGTGCTGTGGCCTCGTCTGCCTTGTAGGCTCCCTGGAAGCGTCAGGCTGGGGGCTGGAGGCGATGGGCTGCCCAGCTGGGTGGACCTGCCTTGGTCTGATCCCACGCGGGTTCCCTGTGCTCTCCAAACATGGAACTCCATGTGCAGCATCTGGTGAAGATTTGGGACGCCCGGTGGGAATCTTGGAAACGGGACAATGGGCTGGGAGGGCCTGCTGTGGTCTGACCCAGAAGAACGGACTGTCCTTGTGCTAAGCAGGTCACATAAACAGGTCCTTGCATAAGCAGTTTTATGCAGCAGATAAAAGGGATCACGGAATGCTTCCTTTCTCGCTGGCACAACGGCAACCCTGGTACACAGAATCGCAGAATAATGGATGCCAAGCCCGGAGTCACGGAGCCCAACCAGCTTCCCGCCAGCTGCAAACTCCTGTCTCCATGGGGGGAGATCTCTGGGCTCTGGGGGTGGGCTGGCATTCGCTCTGCCAGGGCTCACCCAGTGGCAGATCTGCACCAACCCACCCAAAGTCCCACCCAGCCCCTTGCTCAGCTGACAGGATAGTGTTGCAGGAATTTATGTATAGGTTGGGGTGGGGGTTGCCCCTCCAGCAGATATCACGCACATGCAGCCCACTACCAAAACCAGCACCATCACTTTTGTGACTTTTGTGATTTGTCCCCACAAAACACTTCATCACAGTTTCTTCTTGCCTATTCAAAGGGCCTCTGCTGCACAATACCAAATGTAAGAATTCACTGATAAATGTATCTATGGGAAAACCTCAGAAATTCATATAGACCTGTGAGCTCAGCTACTCAGCAGCCCCTCTGCCTGAGTGATAATCCCTGGCATCCTGATACCTGAGTGCCAGACAGGTAGCCATTCCAGAAATAACAAGCCCAGATGAAGACAAAAGGGTGTGATTACCTGGTAACTTGGCTGGGAAACAGGGAAATGTAAATATCTCTTTTGTTCCACTTGATGGGTGTTTGGTGGAGGGCAAGGGGAACCATGGGGCAGGGTCCAGGATGCTCAGATTACTGCCACCAGACCTCCCCTTTCATGATGTAACCGTGATGTATGAGTGATGTAGTTTGGGGGGGTGTAACATGGGGATTAGCAGCTAATAAAAGTTTGGGGGCTCTTTTGTTTGGGGCTTCCATCTTGCTTCGTCTTGCAGTGAGTTGGAGTCCTGTTGTGACAGTTTCAATAAAGACCAAGCCTACTGGCTGCTGTTTTGTTCCAATTTTCCTGGTTGGTGCCCTTGCTTTTTTGTCCAAGGGAGCCCTCGGATTTCTCCATTAACAATAGAAACCCACACTATAAGAGACGCCTGACTGCATCCTCATCGGGCAGCCTGGGTTGCTATGGGGGGGCCCCATCTTATGGGGGGGCACCAGTCTCAAAGGCTTTCCGTCTTCTCCCACCGCCGGCTCCTCCTCACCCGGTTCAGCCCCTCTCGACCAGGTTAGCTCTCAGATCTCTCCTTGGGGCAAAACGGAATCCGGCCAGATGAATGGGAGCCGCTTCCCGTTAATCAGATGTCCTTGGCGTCGGAATGAGGGCATCGCCCGTCTCCCAAGGGCCGCCTTTCTTTCTGCCAAGGCTCCTGGGGTGGGCAGGTCAAGAGCAGCTCCGTGAAAATAGCCATTGGGTTCAGCAAGCCAATTCCAAGGGCAGCCAAGACAAAGCGGTCCGTCCCATTCCCCCTCTCCACCTTCAAATCTTGGACCGCACACTCTCAACACACGAGACCTGGCGGACGTCCAATGAAGCTGGATGTCAGGAGATTCAGGGAGGATAAAAGACAGAACTTTTCCACACGGCACATAGTTTAACTGTGGGCACCAACTGGAATGGCATTAAAAGAGGATTAGACAGATTCCTGGAGGAAGAGAGGGCTACAGAGGGCTACTAGCCAGGAGGGCTCTGCTCTGCCTGCCCAGTTGGAGGCAGCAAGGCTTCCAAAAAACAGTTGCTCTTGAGTTCAAATCCTGCTTGCTGGTCTCCCACAGGCGCCTGTGAGAACAGGATGCTGGACTCGCTCCAGATTAGCTTCCAAGCACTGAAACCAGGGAGAACACCAGCTGAAGATCAGGGGCTTCCTCTTCCAGGGAACCTGATGCCCAGCAAGAAGAGACAACAGGCCCTCCTTTCGTCTCTCGTCCTGGGAATTCAGGCAAGGAGACAGGGATCACGTTCGCCTCTGGAGGCCTCCATTCAAACTTCACACTTGCCCAGAGATATCCTGGCAGATCTGGGCATTTTCTGTTTCCCCCAGCAAATGCTCCCTCCAGAAGTGATGGTGGGGTCTGTAAAGCTACTATGAGCATAAGGCAGAGAGTGCTGCTTCTGGTTGTGAACTTAATTGTTTTATGCAATCTTGTGCATAGGAGAGGGTGATATCTTAATCCTTTAAATAAAGAATACACAAATCCCTAAATCAGTCTGAGAGCAAAGAAGGTAATGTGCAATTAATGTGCAGGTTTGATGTGCAGGTTAAGCAGCGGTGGAGAATTTTTTGCTCTATAAGACTCCCTTTTTCCCTCCTAAAAAGTAAGGGGAAATGTGTGTGCGTCTTATGGAGCGAATGCAGGCTGCGTGGCTATCCCAGGAGCCAGAACAGCAAGAGGGATCGCTGCTTTCACTGCGCAGCGATCCCTCGTTATTCTGGCTTCTGAGATTCAGAATATTTTTTTTCTTATTTTCCTCCTCCAAAAACTAGGTGCATCTTATGGTCTGGTGCGTCTTATAGAGCGAAAAATACGGTAATTTGCCTATTGAGCTGCTTCAGGCTGGATCCCTCCCGCTCGGCCTGCAGCGTTGCACCAGTTCCCGGGATGGACTCTCGTCCACTGGAGCAAGACCTCCCCACCCTCCAGCCACTGCCTCCTTCTCCCCCGCCCCCCCCCCCGGGGTCTTCAGGAGAGTCATGTTTTCTCTCTGGCCTCTTGCCTGGCATCCCTCCAGGGACCCTTTAAAAAGCCCCGGGAAGGATTCCCCCAGGGGCACCCAAGTGCGCTGTGAGTGCCACCCCCAGCCCCCTGCAGGGCCTGCTTTCGATAGGGAGCTTCAATATTTACTCACACGGTTCTGGCCATTGACATGTTACAACCAGCAAATCCAGGGTGGTTGTTTTTTTCCTTTTCCAGGACTGTTCTTTGCTTCCCCTCAAAGTCTTTCAGCGGCAAAGAGGAGTTGGACAAACGACGTCCTTGTTGCTGGGCTGCTAATTGATGTTCCAAACTCCCTGTGAAGGGGCTCCTTGATGCCACCTTTTTCTCACAGAGAAATAAAAAGGGACCTCAGAACATGAGGAAATCTCCCGCTGGGTCCACAAGTGGCGCTTCTGAACCTAACCTTTCAGAATTAAAGTGGTGCTGCGTCCCAAGCGGGGGTTTTCCCCTGAAAGTGAGAAGCAAACTCGGCTTGCAGGGGAAGGTTGGGTGAAATAGCAGCTGGAGGGACTTCCGGGGAGGCGCCTCCGGTAATGGCTGAATTCCTCTGACCGGGAGGAATCTGCTCTGTGGGAATCTGGGTCTGCCCGCCACAGCGAAGGCGGAGACCCGTTAAAATCACAGGCGGGAGAAGCCTGTGAACGTGGGATTTGGCGGGCACCTTTTGCACCTCCCCCACTCGCGGGAAACCCCGGTTTTTGGGGCTCCGGAGCGACGTGGGGTGAGTGGCGCGGTGCATCGAATCGTCGGCTTCTTCCACGGAGCGAAGCCGCATAGCCGTTGCCGGAGAGCGCTGACCTTTTCCTCTGGACAATTTGACTTTAAAGTAATTACCCGTGAGTAGAGCGGAAAAATTGGATTTCTAAATGTTTAATTTGGTACCGTAACGGGGAGGTTCAAAACAGGAAGTCCGCCTCCCCCTT